TCTCGACAACAAAAACAGGTTTTAGGAGACCCCAGCCCCTGACCAGTCAAGAACTTGGGAGACCCCAGGCCCAACTAATCAAAGACGACCACCCCCCCCCCCCCCCGGCTCTGAGTTTAAAAATCCCTAGTCTGTTCAAGCCAGTTGCTATTCTCTCCTTAGAGGTAGTCCGGCAGGCTAATTCCCAATAAACCTGCACTTCTGGAGACTGCACCACCTCGTTCAGCCTCATTTTTAACGTTTGTAAGTTTATTTTTTTTGTAGATTTATTTTGAAAAACCCAAACTTTTTGATACTAGATGCACAAATGTTTTGTATCCTGTAAATGCATAGAAACATGTGGAGGAGCCCTGGCCGGTTTGGCTCAGCGGTTAGAGCGTTGGCCTGCGGTCCGGAGAAACATGTGGAGGAGTACATGGTAACAATTGTTATTCTTTGGGCAGGGAGATTAGATTGTGTAGTGAAAGGGAACTTTAACTTTTTACTCTATATAGTTGTATTTTAAAAACATTTCTTAAAGTAAACAATAGTATAATATTTATGTAATTTTAAGAAAGAATCCCCCTGGTCGGTTTGGTTCAGTGGTTAGAGCTTTGGTCTGTGGACCAGATAGTCTGGGGTTCGGTTCCCGCTAAGGGCATGTACCTCGGTTGTATTTTGACCCTGCCCTGGTTGGGGCCTTGTGGGTGGCAGTCACTCGATGTGTCTCTCTCACGTCAATGTTTCTCTCTCACTCTTCCCCCCTCTCTCCCTCTTGCTCTATCTGAAGATAAATGAAAACACGTCCTTGGGTGAGGATTAAAAAAAAAAGAAAGAAGAGAAATGAGAAGATAAGTTACAGATTGGGAGAAAATATTTCAAAGAGACATCTGAGAAAGGGCTGTTATCCAACATATAAAGAACTCTTAAAACTCAACAATAAGCCTGGCCAGTGTGGCTCAGTGGTTGAGTATCAACCCATGCACCAAGAGGTGGCCAGTTCGATCCCGTTAGGGCACATTCCCAGGTTGTGGGCCTGATCCCCAATGGGGGGCATACAGGAGGCAGCCTGTCAATGTTCTCTCTCATTGATGTTTCTATCTATCTCTCTCCTTCCTCTCTAAAAATCAAGAAAAATAGCCCTGGCCAGTTTGACTCAGGGGTTAGAACGTTGGCCTGTGGTCCAGAGAGACCCGGGTTCAGTTCCCGCTAAGGGCATGTGCTTTGGTTGCAGCTTGTCCCTGGCCCTGGTTGGTCGTGCGGGTGGAAGCCACTCGATGTGTCCCTTTCACGTCAATGTTTCTCTCTCTCTCTTCCCCTCTCTCCCTCCCACTCTATCTGAACAAAAAATAGAGAAATGTCCTCAGGTGAGGATAAAAAAAAAATAAATAAATCAAGAAAAACAAAACAAACAACAAAAAAACTGAACAATAAGAAAACAAACAACCTGACTAAAAAATGGGCAAAGGATGAACATGGCAAATAAGCATATGAAAAGATGCTCCACATCATATGTTATCAGAGAAATGCAAATGAAAACAATAACGAAATATCACTATATACCTACTAGAATGGCCAAAATCCATAACATTGACAACACCAAATGCTAGTGAGAATGTGGCGCAATAGGAACTCGCATTCACTGATGGTGGAACTGCAATGGTACAGCCACTTTTGAAGACAGTTTTATGGTTTCTTTCAAAACTAAATATACTTTTTCTAGATGATCCAGCAATTATGGTCCTTAGTATATATCCCAAAGGAGTTGAAAATTTATGTTCACACAAAAACCTGCACACAAATGTTTATAGTAGCTTTATTCATAATTGCCAAAATTTGGAAGCAATTAAGATGTCCTTCAACAGGTGAATGGATAAACCGTGGTACATCCAATGAAATATTGTTCAATGCTAAAAAGAAATGAGCGATCAAACCAAAAAAAGATGTGCAGGAACATTAAATGCATATTACTAAGTGAAAAAGTTGACCTGAAAGGATCATACTGAAAGGTCATACTGTGTCATTCCAATTATATAACATTCTGGAAAAAGCAAAAGTATGGAGACAGTAGAATGGTTTTCAGGGATTGTGGGAGGGGGTGGGATGAACAGAGTACAGAGGATTTTTAATGCAGTGAAACTATTCTGTACCATACTACAATAGTGGATGTATGTCATTACCCATTTGTCAATATCCATAAAATGTATATCATCAGCAGTAAAGGCCAAATCACTTTGGGTGATTACGATGCGTCAACATAGATTCATCATTTGTAAGAAATGTACCACTGTGTTGTTAGATATTGATAATGATGGAAGCCAGTATGTGGGAGTTGTAGGGGAGGAAGAAACTTTTCTCTACCCTCAAGGTTCTTTCAGCTGGTCTAATAATCAAATACACATGAGGCTCATAATAAGAAAAAAATTACTAAACTTAATTAAATACATATATTTGGGAACCCTGCATACACGAGAGGTTCAAAGACAGAAAAAAAAGAAGTATATATAAAATTCTGGGATAGTGATGAAATAAGCCACCTTGAAGCTTCAGAAGGTAATTGCAGGGAGAGCACATGTTCAGTAATCAGTAGTTTGTCCTGCCACATACATGGGCAAGACCCCTTATTCAAATTCCTTGAGATAGTTAAGGTGGAGGGGGCAGAAGTTTCTTTTGAGCTCTTAATCTCTCTTTTCCTTTAGCTCACAATAATCCACATACTACATCTTGGGGTGAACTCCTACAGAGGGTAGGCATGTATATGTGAATTCTTATGTATTTTCTACTCAATTTTGCTGTGAACCTAAAACTGCTCTAAAAAATATTCTTTAAAAAAACCCAAAAAACCCTGTGCTTTATTTATTTCAATCCTGGATAATCTTTGGTAAACTTTGCTCTGTTTACTGTCTTTAAACTTAAAAAAAAAATTTTTTTTACCTTTTTTTTTATTTTTTAAAATATTTTTTTTTTTTATTGATTTGAGAGAGCGAGGAAAGGAGAGAGAGAGAGAGAGAGAGAGAGAGAGAGAGAAACATCGATGAAAGGGAACATCAATTGGCTGCTTCCTGCATGCCCCCGAAATGGGGATCTGGCTCACAACCTGGGCATGTGCCCTGACCTGGAATCAAATTGGTGACCTCTTGGTGCATGGATAGATGCTCAACCAGTGAGCCACACCGGCTGGGCAAAAATAAAAAAAATTTTTTGGAGCTTTTATAATTGATTGTACTTTTATAGATAGTATTTTTTTTGGCATGAATGTCTTTGACTTTAAAGCAATTACAGTTGTTATTCGTTATCATATCTGTAACTCATTGATTTAGGGTCTGCCTCTTAAAGTACCAATAAAATCTTATCATTTTAATTTCTTTTTAAAAGGGCAAATAAATTCAGAAAGGTTAGGTCATTTTCCCCCTTCTCTGGTTTCTGTATAATCCATCAGGATTATTTTGAAAACATTCTAGCTTGCTGATCTCACCATGCCCACATTCTTGTCACTTCTGGTAAAAATCCCTTTGGCAGGCTTATTTTCTATATATTTAATTTAATTTTTTACTTTCACTCCTCTCACCGAATCTTCTACTGTTTCCTATCCTATTTAATTCTAGCACTAAGCCCTCTGGAATGTCTAATAAACAAAATCCCCTAAATTGTTAACCTCTTTGAGAAATATTCCTCCACTTACTGGATTTGACTTAATCCTTGATTGGAGGACTCATTTTCACTGGTCTCCTTCCAAGGGGCTTTTTGCTCATTTGACTTATTTGTTCATTGAGAACTCTGGTTCTAGGCCAGTCATTCTTCCAATTCATTTAGGATCCTGCCACTCTCCTAGGTGATTTAAGTTGCTACATGGAGAACTTTCTAATTCCATTGCACATATCTTGGCTCCGACTGTTCTACCTGTTGTAACCCAGGAGAGTCAACCTTACTCTGACACAAAGTTGGGTGAATTAAAGGTGAGCTTTATTACCTGCGCAGGGACTGCAGCCAGCCTACACAGAGAACTGCAGCCCCAAGCAGCAGACTTTCAGCCCTTTTATAATCAGGGTTAACAAATACTAGATAGCAAGCTTGTGACAGAGATGGATAGCAACAGTTAGCCAGGTGCAATATATATATTTTTAACAGTTACAGTTTTATGGGGCAAAAGGGAGCTTCAGTTTCTCCCTATCAGCCCATCTACAGAGCATGCATGACCCTCTGACCTTAGCGCCATTTCTGTTTCTGTCTCCCTTTTTCTGGAGAATGTTGCCCCTCAAATTCCCAGTGAGGGTCACACTCTGGTTAACCTTTATGGGGCTAAAAGCTATTTATAACATTCCCCATTGTTTACTTGCCTTCCCTGAGGCTGTCAATTAGGGCAGCTTAAGGACAAGTTGTTTTTCTTTACTGAATTCCAAGGATAGTGAGCTATAACACTACCTGTGGAATCTTGAAACGATTTGAAGACTTCCGACCCTTTCCACCTCCTCCCTCCCTCACCACACCTGCTCTCAGACCTCCATAACTTCTGACCTTCTACTCAGCTCCATCCCTCCTGTCTTCATTTATCCGCTACTGAGCTTGGACTCCTTAGTCCTATCTTCACGAGTCTCTTTTTCGCTCTTGATTTGTCGCAGCAAAGCTCCATTCCTGATCAAATCCAAGCCCGTCTTTTCCACTCGCTCCCAACACTTAGCCCTTGTTTCGGGGGGAAACAAACTGGAACGTAGACCGAAACTGACTCAACGTGGAGAACTGTGGATTCTAAACTTTTTCATTTTTCTTAATTCCCATACTTCAACAATGAGTACTTCTCACTTTCATTAAAGCACCACAGAGCCCACGCCTAGAGTTCGGCGGCTGTCCATTATAAGGCTCCTTTAGGGGGCGCAGGCGCACTCGCTGCTGCCTCCCGGGGCATGACGGGACGAGGGGCGGGCACGTCGGCGCGCAAGTCACACGCACCAGGGACGTCCCAGCGGCCGGGCCCAGGTGGGTTGTGGTCCGCGTGGCGCCGCGGCTGCCTTCTTTCGAGGCGGGAGGGGCCGACGGAGAAGGCTCAGGCCTGGCGGAAGCCATGTTTGTGGCACGCAGCATTGCAGCGGATCATAAGGACCTCATCCATGATGTCTCTTTCGATTTCCACGGGCGGCGGATGGCGACCTGCTCCAGCGACCAGAGCGTCAAGGTGCGCGCGGAGCCTTCGGTCGGGGCTGACCTCGGAAGGAGGAGAGGGGAGCGTGCGCGACCCGCTGTTTGAGTGGAAGCACCGGCGCGTAGAAAGGGGACTACTTCCGATATTGAGGCGTGTCGCCGGGCACGAGGCCTCAACCTAAGGGAGGCAGGCAAGCTCCGGCCGACTGGTCTTGCCTGGTCATCCTCGCTCTCTATAATGGGGGAACACTAGCTCCCCAGGAGAGCCGTGCCGCGGAGCGCCTGCGCAGAGCGGGTGCGGGTCCGGGCCACCTGCGCGCTTCCACAGCCGGGGGCGCTGAGAGCCCGCGGGTTTCCCGCGAACCCTGGGTCGGGTCCCTGTGGACCGGAGCCAGGTAGCTTCCTCAGCTTAATCTCGGAGAGGGGTTTGTCAGTCGGCGGCTTGTTCAGTGAGAGGCCTGAGCCTTAGGGACCTGGTAGGGCAGTCATTTCGCGGTTTGTTCTTAAGTTCTCTGTGCCTCATCCCTCTCCTGGGAAGATTGTTCTCTCCTTGTGTTCAGGTAGGCTCACCTTGTTTCGCGGTGAAAGAAAATACAAATCTGTTTACACCCAATGAAGTTCTCTGCTAGGAATTGGAGTGTTTCTTAAAGTTCCTGCAAACCTCTGGATACCGCTCTGACAAGCATTTTTCTTAACAAGGATGATATTTGGGATTTAGGAACCTCAGAGATACGGGGTCAAAGGTAATAAACTTGACGATGAAAGCTGGAGTGTGGATTATTTGCATTCCCGACAACTCCAAAATAACTGAAAATCTGAAGGACGTTATTTACTTGTTTTTCATTGTCAAGTTTGATAACCGTAATTCCCTCAAATATAGTATTCTTTCTTGAAAAAGGGTAATGCCACCAAATCCACTGGATAATAAAGTGTAACTTGTAAAGTGTTTGGAATCACTTTTTTAAATTCGTTTTTTTGGTGTGTGGTAAACTAACCATTTTAAAGTGTATATTACAGTTCAGTGGTGATAAGCACAATATTCAACATTGTGCAGCCATCACCACTGTAAGTTTGTGGAACTTTTTCTTCATCCTAAACAGAAATTCTGTATGTAGGAACTCCCTTTTCTCTACTGCACCCAGTCCCTGGTCACCTCTGATTCTCTTTCTCTGTAAATTTGACTATTCTGGTACTTCATATAAATGCACTCATACAATATTTGTCCTTTTATTTATGATTTGTTTCATTTACTGTGATGTTTCCAAGGTTCATTCATATTTATAGTATGTATCAGAATTTCATTAAAATTTTTTTATATTTTTTAAAGAACTTTTTTTTTTTTCAGATAGAGTGGGAGGGAGAGAGAGGAAGAGAGAGAGAGAGAAACATCGATGTGAAGGGACACATCGAGTGGCTGCCACCCGCACGACCAATCAGGGCCGGGGACAAACTGCAACCGAGGTACGTGCCCTTAGCGGGAACCGAACCCAGGTCTCTCTGTACCGCAGGCCGACGCTCTAACCGCTGAGCCAAACTGGCCAGGGCTAAAGAACTTTTAAATAGATTTTTAGAGAGAGAGGGAGAGAAACAGTGTTAGATCAAAACATCTATCAGCTGCCTCCTGCTCAACCCCCACGGAGGATATAGCCAGCAACTGGGGCATCTGCCCTGGGAATGGAACCAGCAACCTTTCTTGTGCACAGGACAATGCCAACCAACTGAGGCACACCGGCCAGTGCTCAGAATGTCATTTTTTAGATTAATCTTTTGTTGTATGTATATACCACATTTTATTTTATTTTATTTATTTTATTTTATTTATTTTTATTTTATTTTATTTTATTTTTTATCCTCACCCGAGGACATTTTTCCATTTTTGTTCAGATAGAGCGGGAGGGAGAGAGAGGAAGAGAGAGAGAGAGAAACATCGATGTGAAGGGACACATCGAGTGGCTGCCACCCGCACGACCAACCAGGGCCGGGGACAAACTGCAACCGAGGTACGTGCCCTTAGTGGGAACCGAACCCGGGTCTCTCTGTACCGCAGGCCGACGCTCCAACCGCTGAGCCAAACCGGCCAGGGCTTTATTTTATTTTTTTATCCTTACTCAAGGACATTTTTGCATTTATTTTCAGATAGAGCAGGAGGGAGAGAGAAACATCTGATGTGAGAGACACATCGAGTGGTTGCCACCCACACGACCCCAACCAGGGCTGGGGACAAACTGCAACTGAGGTATGTGCTCTTAGCAGGAACCGAACCTGGGACTCTCTGGTCCAAGTACTGATGCCCTAACTGCTGAGCCAAACAGGCCAGGGCGTGAGGGAATATTTTAAAAGCTTTTGAGACTAATTGGCAAATTGCTATTTTGAAGGTTGCTGTATTATACACTGACAGTGAGAGTATTGATTTGATAGTATCATTTTCCATGTAGGGCATTATCATTATACGTTTTTTTCCCCTTTAAATGTTTTTATGTGGTAAAATACATATAACATAAAGTTTACTATTTTACCCATTTTTAAGTGTACAGTAAGTGGGATTAGGTACATTCATATTTTTCTGCAACCATCCACCTACAGAACTTTTTTATTTTGCAAAACTGAAACTCTGTCCATTAAATACACTATTTTGTAGCTCCTGGAAACCAGATTTCTGCCTCTGGGTACCTCATGTAAATGGAATCACACATGTGTCTTTTTTGTAAAAGGATTCTTTCACTTAGTGTAATATCTTTATTTTATTTTATTTTTTAATCCTCACCCGAGGATATTTTTCCACTTTTTGTACAGATAGAATGGGAGGGAGAGAGAGGAAGGGAGAGAGAGAGAGAAACATCGACGTGAAGGGACACATCGAGTGGCTGCCACCCACACGACCAACCAGGGCCGGGGACAAACTGCAACCGAAGTACATGCCCTCAGTGGGAACCAAACCCGGGTCTCTCTGGACCGCAGGCCGACGCTCTAACCGCTGAGCCAAACTGGCCAGGGCAGTGTAATATCTTTAAATGTTGTAGCATGTATCAGAATTTTTTTTTTAAAGGCTGAATATTCCATATGTATTGTATATACCACATTTTACTTACTCATCTGTCCATAGACCTGGGTAGCTTCTACATTTTAGCTGTTGTGAATAATGCTGCTGTGAATGTGGGTGTACAAATATCTCTGGGACTCTGCCTTTTATTATTTATTTGTTTTTTTTGTTATCCTCATCCGAGGACATTTTTCCATTTTTTTGTACAGAGTGGAAGGGAGAGAGAGAGGGAAACATCGATGTGAAAGGGACACATCGAGTGGCTGCCACCCGCACGACCAACCAGGGCCGGGGACAAACTGCAGCCGAGGTATGTGCCCTTAGCGGAAACTGAACCCGGGTCTCTCCGGACCGCAGGCCGACGCTCTAACCGCTGAGCCAAACCGGCCAGGGCTATTTGTTTTTTAAATTAAGTTTATTGGTCACATCTTTATCCAGTCATCTGTTGAAGGTCACTATTATGTTTCCATGCCTTGACTACTGTGAATGATGTTGCTGTGAACATAGAGGTACATATATCTTTACAAATAAATGTTTTCACATTTTTCAGCTAGAGCTCCAGAAGGGGGGTTGCTGGGTCATATGGTAACTCTAGTCTTAATTTTTTGAGGACCCTCCATACTGTTTTTCCATAGAGGCTGCACCAATTTACATTTTGACCAGCTGAGAATGAGGGTTCCCTTTTCCCCACATCCTCTCCAACACTTGTTATTTCTTGTCTTGTTAATAGTAGCCATTCTAACAGGTGGTGTCTCATTGTGGTTTTGATTTGCATTTCCCTTAAAGTTGAGCATCTTTTCATATATCTGTTGGTGTCTGTATGTCTTCTTGGGAAAAGTGTTCAGGTCCTTTGCTCATTTTTAAATTTTATTTTTATTTATTTTTTAGATAGAATGGGGGTGGAGTAGAGAGAGAAAGAGAAAGAGAGAGAGAGAGAGAGAGAGACATTGATGAGAGAGAACATCAATTGTTCTCTCTCTGCATGCCCCCCACTGGGGATTTGGACCACAACCTGGGCATGTGCCCTTATGTGGAATAGAACTGGCGACCTCTGGGTGGGTGAGTTGACGTTCAACCACTGAGCCACACTGGCCAGGCCCAGTCCATTCATTTTTATTTTTGTTTTTACTTCCCTTGCCTTTGGGATCAAGTTCACAAAAACTTCTTGAGACCAAGGTTCATAAGTTTAGTACCAGTGTTTTCTTCTATGTATTTTATTGTTTAAGGTCTTATAATCAAGTCTACTTCATTTTGAGTTAATTTTTGTGCATGGTGTCAGATAGCAGTCTAGTTACTTTCTCTTGCATGTGGCTTTCCAATTTTCCCAGCACCATTTATTGAAAAGGCTTTCATCCTCCATTGTATGTTTTTGGCTCCTTAGTCAAAAAATAGTTGTTAATATATGTGTGTGTGTATTTCTGGGCTCTTAGTTCCATTATATTGGTCTGCATATCTGTTTTTCTGCCAATATTGTATTGTTTTGATTATTTTAGCTTTGTAGTATTATTTGAATTCAGGCAGTGTGATACCTCCAGCTTTGTCTTTTTTTCTCTCAGGATTACTTTAACTATTTTTTGTTCTGTTTCTTTGAAAAATACCATTGGGTTTTTGCTGGGGATTGCATTAAATCTATTGCTTGAGGTAATATGGCCATTTCACCTATGTTAATAATTCTAATCCATGAACATCGCATCTTTCCATTGTTTTGTGTCTTCAATTTCTTTCAACAATGTCTTATGGTTTTCCATGTATAGGTCCTTCACTTTCTTAAGTTTATTCTTAGGTATTTTATTCTTTTTGTTGCAATTGCAAATGGGAGTGTTTTCTTTATTTCATTACCTGATGCTTCATTGTTAGTATATAGAAATACAGTGGATTTTTGTACATTGATTTTGTGTCCTGCAACTTTACTATGTTTATTTATTGTTTTTAATAGTTTTGGAGTATAGTCTTATGGTATTTCTATATGTAGAGTCATGTCATCCGTAAATAATGACATGATTTTACTTCATTCTCACTTTTGATGCCTATTATCTATTTCCTTTGCCTGATTGCTCTGGCTAGGACTTCCAGTACTATGTTGAATAACAGTGGCAAGAGTGAGTATTCTTGTCTTGTTCCTGATCTTAGAGGAAAAGCTTTCAGATTTTCACCATTGAGTATGATATTAGCTGAAGGTTTGTCATATATGGCCTTCATTATGTTAAGGTACTTTCCTTCTTTTATTAAGTGCTTTAATCATAAATGGATGTTGTATCTTGTGAAATAATTTTTCTGCATCTATTGATATCATATGATTTTCATCTTTTGACTCGATCATGATATATTTATTATCTTTTTTATATATTGTTATGTATGATTTGCCAGTATTTGGTTAGGATTTTTGCATCTCTTTTTATCAGCTGTTAGTCTGTAGTTTCTTTTTTTAAAAATATGTTTTTATTGATTTTTTTAGAGGAGAGGAATGGAGATGGAGGGAGAGATAGAAACATTGATTTGAGAGAGATATATTGATCGGCTGCCTCCTGCACACCCCGCTACTGGAGATTGAGCCCACAACCCGAGCATGTGTCCTAACCAGGAATTGAACCAGTGACCTCTTGGTGTATGGGACAATGCTCAATCCATTAAGCCGTACTGGTCAGGCTGTAATTTCTTTTTTTGTGTGTTTACCTGTGCAAGTTCAGTCCTTTTTGTCTTGCCTTTATATGTTTTTGTTGTCACATATCCCTTTTTATACTGTGTTTGTTTCTAAATTGCAGGAGTTACAGTCTTTTTGAAAATGCTTTTACCCCCTTTAATCTTTATGTTATAATTAAGTGTTTAATATGCTGTTCTGAAGTAGAAGTGCAGTTTCCTGCTTCTGTTTTTCTGTTTGTCATCTTACTGGCATTTTTGTATTCTTTTGTCTTTTTGTTTCAGGTAGAAGAGCTCATTTCATTTATTGTATTGCAGGTCTTGTGGTGGTAAATTTTGTTAGCATTTCTTTGTCTGGAAAAGCCTTTATTTCTCCTTTATATCTAAAGAATAACTTTGCTGTATATATTATCATTGGCTGGTGATTTCTCTCTTTCAATATTTTTTTTTCTTTCTATTTGCTCCTAGCTTGTAAGGTTTCTGTTGGGGAAAAAAAAACAATGATAATCTAATGAGGTTTCCATCATAGGTACACTCTTTATTTTTCTTGGCAGCCTTGAAAATTCTTTCATTGTCATTAAATTTTACAATGGAAGAATTTTTGGAGAATGTTTTTATGGGTTGGGATATTTAGGTGTTCTGTTAGATTCTTGGATTTGAGGGTCCATCTCTTTGCATAGATTTGGAAAGATTTGATTATTTGTTTGAATAGGCTCTCTGTTTCTTTCTCCATCTGGTATACCATTATTCTCCTTTTTTTTTTCCCTCAAGGTTTCAGTGTAATCCTAGAGCTAGTGTTATCATATGTCAGCCGTAAATTCAGGTAATACATTGCAACACATCATTGACCTACCCATTAGTCTTATATTGGTCTGTCTTTCTTCTTTTTTTAAAAAAAATTTATCTTTATTGTTGAATGTATTACAGACGTTCCTCATTTTCCCCCTATTGACTCTTTCCTCCCCACTCCCGCCCCCCTCCTGCCTTTCCTCACACTGTTGTCTGTGTCTATTGATTATGCATATATACATATAAGTTCTTTGGTTTATCTCTTCCTACCCCCAACCCACCTTCCCATTGAGGTTGTCAGTCTAGCAACCAATTTGTACTTCTTAATCCCTTCACCTTTTTCACTCATTCCCCCAACTCCCCTCCCATCTGCCAACCAACAAAATGTTCTCTGTGAGAATGCTTCTGTTCTGCCTGTTCATTTTGTCTGTAGATTCAATTGTCGATAGATATGTATTATTAATTGCCATTTTATTTGTTCATATTTTTTATCTTTTTTTCAGGAAGACCCTTCAACATTTCATATAATAATAGTTTGGTGGTGAAGAACTCCTTTAGCTTTTTAATCTGAGAACCTCTTCATATGTCCATCAGTTCCAAATGAGAGCTTTGCAGGATAGAGTAATCTTGTATGTTCTTGCTTTTCATCACTTTGAATATTTCTTGCCACTCCCTTCTGGCCTGCAAAGTTTCTTTTGAGAAATCAGCTGACAGTCTAATAGGAACTCCCTTGTAGGTAACTAACTGCTTTTTTCTTGCTGCTTTTAAGATTCTGTCTTTGCCTTGAACTTTTTGCATTTTGATGATGATGTGTCTTGGTGTGGGCCTCTTGGGGTTCATCTTGTTTGAGACTCTCTGTGCTTCCTGGACTTGTATTGCTTGTTTCCTTCACCAAGTTAGGGAAGTTTTCTGCCATTATTGTTTCAAATAGGTTTTCGATTTCTTGTTCTCTCTCTTCTCCTCTGGCACCCCCAAGATGCGATTGTTGGCACGCTTGAAGTTGTCCCAGAGGCTCCTTACACTATCCTCATTTTTTTGGATTCTTTTTTCTTTTTGCTGTTCTGATTGGGTGATTTTTGCTTCCTTATATTCCAAATCGATGGCTTGCTTTTTGGCTTTTCCTGCTCTACTATTGAATCTGTATAAATTATTCTTTATTTCAGTTAGTGCCTCCATTTCTGACTGCTCCTTTTTAATGCTCTTGAGGCCCTCACTAAGTTCACTGAGGTTCTCACTAAGTTCATTGAGCATCCTTATAAGCAGTGTTTTGAACTCTGTATCTGTTAGGTTGCTTATCTCCATTTCACTCAGTTCTTTTCCTGGAGTTTTGTTCTGTTCTTTCATTTGGGACCTGTTTCTTTGTCTCCTTCTTTTGGCTGCCTTCCTGTGTTTGTTTCTATGTATTACTTAACGAGAGGTATGGGGCTAGCTGAGACCAGATGCTGCTTGTTTGAAAGCATTTAGGAAAACCTGAAGTAGGATCCAAGACAGGCCAATCCTGTGGTAAAGCAACTGGCAACAGCTTGGGTGGGCCTGAAAGTTGGGTGGGGTGGGGCCTCAAGGAATCACCAGGGCGGGGGAAACAGTATGAGCTAAGTTGCTGGAGTCTCAGATATGGTGGCTGTCTGCTGTCCAAGGGAAGGGCTTACCAAAGGAACAAAGGCCTCTGATAGCATGTCTGTCCAGGAGGAAGCTGCCTCTTCAGCCCTTGCCCCAATGCCAAATAACTCTGTTCTTCCTCATTTGTCTCTGATGCCTTTCAAGCTGCCTACCCCCTCGCTGGAGCCTGGAGGGTGTGAGTCCGAGTAAGTCTGTGCACTGGCCCTTTAAGAGGAGCGGCGTGGGGCTCCAGCTGCCTCAGCTGCCCTTAGCCTCAGTTCCCGCTGTTCTTTTCAGCCAGAAGTTATGGGGATTGTCTTTCAGGCACTGGAACCCTGAGCTGGGCACCTAGTGTTGGATGGGGACCCCCTTCATACTCAGGGAGGACCTTCCCAGCTGAGGTATCCTCCTGATTTTTATCTGCTACACATGAGTGTGGGACCAGCCTGCCACACCTCCGCCCCTCCTACCTGTCTAGATATGGCTGCTTCTTTAATTTTGTAGTTTTAGAACTTCCATTCAGCTTGATTTCAGGCAGTTTTGAATGATGGTTGTTCTGTAGTTTAGTTGTAACTTTGATGTGGTTGTGGGAGGACTCGATACCGCGTTTACCTATGCCGTCATCTTGACCGGAAGTTCCTTATGTTGGTCTTTCTAATGGAGTCAAATAGTTGTAGAGTTCTTCTGAGTTATTTCTAGAATTCCATCTTCAAGTTCACTAATTCTTTCTTCCATCTGGTATGCTCTATTTCTTAAGTTCTTTAATCTATTCTTCATCTCATTTACTGAGTTCTTCAGCTCCAGAATTTCTGTTTGGTTCTTTATTATAGTTTCAGTCTCTTTGTTAAAGTATCCTTTTGTTCATTGACTTTATTGCTGAGCTCATTGAACTACCTTTCTGAGTTTTCTTGTATTTTGCTGAATTTTTTCAGAACTACAATCTTGAATTCACTGTCATTTAAATCATAGTCCTCCATGTCTTTCCGTTTGTTTTCTGGAGACTTTCATTTTCTTTCTGAACTACCTTGTTACCTTCTTTATTTGTGGTATTTGATGGATTATTTCTCTGTCTGGGCATTTGAAGAATTAAAATATTTTTTAGATACTATTTTGCTTTAACAGTGTAGTAGTGAGCCCTGGCTGATTTGGCTTAGCAGTTAGAGTGTAGGCCTGTAGACCAGAGAGTACTGGATTTGGTTCCCACTAAGGGCACGTACCTCGGTTGCAGTTTGTTCCCGGCCCTGGTTGGGATCGTGTGGGTGACAAGCACTTGATGTGTCTCTCTCACATGGATGTTTCTCTCTCTCTCTTCCTCCCTCTCTCCCTCCCGCTCTATCTGAAGATAAATACAAAAATGTCCCCGGGTGAGGATAAAAAATCAGCAACAAAACAATGTAGCAGTGATAAGTAGAGGTCTTTCTTTTGCTTTCCACTAGATGGTGCTATAGCATAAGTTTTTGTTGTCTCTTATCTGAACTATCAGCTGAGACTTCCAGGATCTCTGTGGGGTATGTTGCCTTGGCTGTGGAAAATACCTTCTATTCCCTGAGGAGGTGGATGTCCCCTCTGTAACTGGGTCCCCTCTGTCTCAGGGCACTATTTCTGTGGTGGAATGTGATGGGTGATGGGGCTCCAGGCCTTTGATTTCTCAGTGCTACTTCCTATAATCAGAGGCTGCTATCTGTACTATACTGTCTAAGGTGTCCCAGCTGCCTCTACTAGGTTCTCTGCAATGGGTAGGGGATAATTGGGCAGGAGGAGGTGGGTTCACCAGTCTGGCTTTGTCTTTTTCAACTGGGTTTAGCTGCACTGTGTACCAGCCACTTCGGGTGGAATAGTGCATCTGACCCTATGCCTTCTCCAGGCTGCTAAGTGAGGCTGTATTCTAACAGTGTCACTGTCACCCTGTCAGCTGGAGCTGGGAGAGATGCAGCTTTATTTTGTTCCCTGATAACTGTGGCTGTCGGTTTGTATCTGCTGTACTTTTGTACCACTTGTCACTTCCGTCACTGGACTCAGCTGCATTGTGTGGCCTCTGGCTCCCTCTCTGGGTTGCCAAATGAGGGCTGTCATCCCCTTCCTCCACTGCCCACTCCCATATGTTCACCTGCAGATGTCTCAGTACGTGGATCTCTCAGACATGTTTGTGTGTTGAGCAGGCACTCCTTTGTTGAATTATAGGTGTTCAACTTGTTGGAAGTTCATGGGGAGAGCAGGTGGTCTTGTCACTCTGCCATGATCCTGATGTCACTGTGAGACCCTGATTTTAACACTTTTGGGTATATACCCTGGAGTAGAATTGCTGGATCACATGGTACTTCTATTTTTAGTTTTTTTGAGGAGCCATCATACTGTTTATTATTACATATTTTAAAAGGTTAAAATGTCATTTTGTTATTTTTTTTTTTTTTTTTTTTTATCCTCACCCGAGGATATTTTTCCACTTTTTGTACAGATAGAGTGGGAGGGAGAGAGAGGAAGGGAGAGAGAGAGAAACATCGACATGAAGGGACACATCGAGTGGCTGCCACCCACACGACCAACCAGGGCCGGGGACAAACTGCAACCGAAGTACGTGCCCTTAGCGGGAACCGAACCCGGGTCTTTCCGGACCGCAGGCCGATGCTCTAACCGCTGAGCCAAACCGGCCAGGGCCATTTTGTTATTTTAATCTATATATTTTTTAGTAAGGTTCAGTAGTTTGCTTTTGTTACATATAAAATTGATCCTCATTATTTGCAGATTGTATTTGTGAATTTGTTTACCTTCTAAAATTTTAACCCCCAAATCAGTAGTTATTTTGTTGATATGAACAAAGGGGCAAAAAATTGGAGTTGCCTGATATACACGTTTCCAGTTGAGGTCCAGTGGGGTGACATACTTTCTTCCCATTTTGGCTCTCATACTGTAAACAAGTGTTCTCAGTACCTATTTATTGCCACATTTTTTCACATTTTTGTTCTTTTCATTGGTGACTTCACGTCTAGAATGTTCCCAAGCGTAGTGCTGAAGTGCTGCCTAGTGTTCCTAAGTGCGCAAAGGCTATGATGAGCTCTAGGAAGAAAATATGTGTGTTAAGGAAGCTTCATTTAGGTGTGAGTTATAGTGCTGTTGGCTTTGAGTTCAATGTTAATGAATCAATACTATATGTTAAATAAGGTGTCTTTAAACAGATACACACATAAGACAGAGTTATGTATTGATTGGTTGACAAATATGTTGTGACCAGAGGCTCCTATGAATCTCACCTTGTATTTTCCTTAGGAGCAGTGGCTCAGTATTTGCTAATTCATTGTTTATAGCAACATGAGACCATAATTACCTTGAATAACAAGACTTGATTGTATAGTCAAACCTCGGTTTTTTAATGTCTTCCATCCCTTTCATGCTGATAGTTGTATAATCCGTCAGGTGTCTGTGAGGTGACAAACAGAGGAGAGAATGCATGAATATGAGTCAGTTTACTGCTGTTAACAGCTCAGGAAATTGTACTGTGAATCTTTTCATGTTTTTTTTTTTGCTCCTGTTGCTGCTTATTAAAATTTTTTTACTTTACATCTCGTGTCCTTTTTATTTTTAAAGTGTTTATTTATAGATTAAACAGTACATTAAACATGTACTGTATATAAAAAAAGGTTAAAATGGAATCATTTTTGGGGTCTGGAATGCATTAATTCAATTTATATTATATCTAAAGGGAAGAAATGCTTCGGTTTTTGTTTTTATTTATTTATTTATTTATTTTTATCCTCACCCGAGGACACTTTTTCATTCTTTGTTCAGATAGAGCAGGAGGGAGAGAGAGAGAGAGAAACATCGATGTGAAAGGGACACATCGAGTGGCTGCCACCCGCACGACCAACCAGGGCCGCGGACACAGACAAACTGCAACCGAGGTACATGCCCTTAGCGGGAACCGAACCCAGGTCTCTCCGGACTGCAGGCCGACGCTTTAACCGCTGAGCCAAACCAGCCAGGGCAATGCTTCGGTTTTTGAACAGCCTTCTGGAACAAATTAAGTTTGAGAACCGAGTTTCCATTGTAATTTTAATTGTCTCTATTACTTGTTAGAGCTCAGATTCTTTGATCCCCCCCCCCCTAAGTATCTGACACATCCAAAGTTCTCAATAAATATTTGAATGAATGAATGTTTGCTTATTGGTTGTATTCTTGTGTGAATTTATGTTCACCTCCTTTGCTCTAATACTGATTTAGTCTTGATGTTTTTCATATTAATGTTTAGGAAGTCTGTGTATAAAATATCTGCCTTTTAATTTCTTTGTAGGTTTGGGATAAAAGTGAAAGTGGAGATTGGCATTGTACTGCTAGCTGGAAGGTTAGTATTTATTTTTACAGTAATTTTTAAAAAGTAAATTGTTTACTGTCTATTTGGGAGTATCAGTATTCTGTTCAGCTTTGGGAGAATGATGAATTTTATACTTATTTTCCTAAAAAGGAATTTTACAATTTTCACTATTAAAGTAACAGAAATACACTTTAGAAAATTTGAGAATAAGAAAATTTTTTTTTTTTTATCCTCACCTAAGGACATTTTTTTTGCATTTATCTTCAGAGCGAAAGGGAGCGAGGGAGGAAGAGAGAGACAGAAACATAGATATGAGAGAGACACATCGACTGGTTGCCACCCACACAATCCCAACTGGGGTTGGGGACAAACTGCAACCAAGGTACATGCCCTTAGCGGGAACCGAACCTGGGACTCTCTGGTGCTCGGGCCGACCCGCTAAATGCTGAGCCAAACTGGCCAGGGTGAGAATAAGAAAATTTGTAATTCCATACCATTCTAACATAATTATTGTTAGCATGTTAGTATTTTTTTTTTCATTTACATATTTTTAATAGCTGTGATGTTTCATACATTTTTATTTCTTGATTTAAAAAAAACCTTACTCAGGTGGAATTTTACATACCTTAAGAGTCATCAATTTTTTTTTTAATTAACTTATTTTATTATTATTTTTTTTATCCTCACCCGAGGACATCTTTCTATATTTTGTTCAGATAGAGTGGGAGGGAGAGAGAGAGAGAAAGAGAAAGAGAAACATCGACGTGAAAGGGACACATTGAGTGGTTGCTACCCACAAGACCAACCAGGGCTGGGGAAATTACAGCCGAGGTACGTGCCCTTAGCGGGAACTGAACCCGGGTCTCTCTGGTCCGCAGGCTGATACTCTAACCGCTGAGCCAGACCGGCCAGGGCAAGAGTCATCAATTTTAAGTGTGCAGTTCAGTAAGTTTTAGTAAATTTATTTATTTATTTTATTTAAAATATGTTTTTATTGATTTTTTTAATTTTATTAATTTTTTATTCTTTTTTGTTACAGATGTTTCTCCTTTTTTACCCCATTGACACCCTCTACCCCATCCCCCACCCTCCCCGTCCCCAGCTTTGTTGTCCATGTACATTGGTTATGCATACATGCATATAAGATCTGTGGTTTATCTCTTCCCACCCCCCCAACCCGTCTTCTGAGGGATGTCAGTCTGTGCCCTACTTTCGTGTTTCTGGGTCTCCCGTATTCTTCAGACTGTTATGTTCATTATATTCCATATATAAGTGAGATCATGTGGTATTTGTCTTTTTCTGCTTGGCTTGTTTCACTTAGGATAATACTTTCCAGGTCCCTCCATGTCGTCTCAAAGGATAAGAGATCTTTCTTTCTTACAGCTGCATAGTACTCCATTGTGTATATGTACCACAGCTTTTTTATCCATTCGTCTACTGATGGACACTTGGGCTGTTTCCAGATCTTAGCTATTGTAAATAGTGCTGCTCTGAACACGGGGGTACATATATTCCTTCTGATTAGTATTTCAGGCTTCTTAGGGTATATTCCTAGGAATAAACTTAACCAAAGAAGTAAAGGACCTCTTCACAGAAAACTACAGGTTATTGGAAAAAGACATAGAGGAAGATATAAAAAAGTAGAAGCACATACCTTGTTCATGGATTGGAAGAATTAACATCATTAAAATGTCCATACTACCCAAAGCAATCTATAGATTCAATGCAATCCCCATCAAAATACCAATGACATATCTCACAGAACTAGAACAAATACTTCAAAAGTTCATATGGAACCAAAAAAGACCTCGAATAGCCACAGCAATTTTGAACAAGAAGGACAAAGTAGGTGGGATCACAATACCAGATATCAGGTTACAAAGCGACTGGAATCAAAACAGCCTGGTACTGGCACAAGAACAGGCATATAGACCGGCGGAACAGAACAGAGAACCCAGAAATGGACCCAAGGCAATATGCTCAATTAATATTTGACAAAGGTGGCAAGAGCATACAATGGAGTAAAGGCAGCCTCTTTAATAAATGGTGTTAGGAAAATTGGACAGCTACATGCAAAAAAATAAAACTAGACCATCAACTTACACCATACACAAAAATAAACTCAAAATGGATGAAAGACTTAAATGTGACCCGTGAATCCATAAAAATTCTAGAAGAAAATGTAGGCATCAAAATTTCGGACATCATACGCAGCAGAATTTTCACTGATATATCACCTAAGGCAACAGAAAGAAAGGAAAAAATGAACACATGGGACTATATCAAATTCTAAAGCTTCTGCACAGCAAAAGAAACAATCATCAACATGGAAAGGCAACCTACTGAATGGAGAACATCATTGCCAATGATATATTAGATAAGGGGTTAATTTCCAATATATATAGAGTGCTCAAACAACTCAACAAAAGGAACACAAAGAATCCAATTAGAAAATGGGCAGAGGAGCAGAATAGATACCTTTCCAAACAGGACATATAAATGGCTAAGAGACGTATGAAGAAATGCTCAACATTATTCATCATCAGAGAGATGCAAATTAAAACATCAATGAGGTATCACCTACCTGTCAGAATGGCCACCATCAACAAATCATCAAACAACAAGTGTTGGTGAGGGTGTGACCTCAAAAAATTAAAAACTGAACTTCCATTTGACCCAGTGATTTTTTTTTTTTTTTTTAATTTTATTTTTGTTACAGATGTTTCTCCTTTTTTACCCCATTGACACCCTCCTCCCCATCCCCCTCACCCCGTCCCTGGCTTTGTTATGCATGTATATTGCATGTACATTGTTTATGCATACATGCATATAAGTTCTGTGGTTTATCTCTTCCCACCCCCCTTCCCCATCTGAGGGTTGTCAGTCTGTACCCCATTTTTGTGTTTCTGCGTCTACCCTATTCCTCAGACCTTTATATTCATTATATTCCATGTATAAGTGAGATCATGTGGTGTTTGTCTTTTTCTGCTTGGCTTGTTTCACTTAGGATAATACTTTCCAGGTCCCTCCATGTCGTCTCAAAGGATAAGAGATCTTTCTTTCTTACAGCTGCATAGTACTCCATTGTGTATATGTACCACAGCTTTTTTATCCATTCGTCTACTGATGGACACTTGGGCTGTTTCCAGATCTTAGCTATTGTAAATAGTGCTGCTATGTACATGGGGGTACATGTATTCTTTCTGATTGGTGTTTTAGGCTTCTTAGTTCGTATTCCTAGAAGCGGGATCACTGGGTCAAATGGAAGCTCAATTTTCAATTTCTCTTAAGAACAGGAACAAGAAAGGAATGTCCACTTTCGCCACTCTCTTTTAACATTTTACAGGAAGTCTTAGCCACAGTAGTCAGACATGAAGAAAAAATAAAAGGGATCCAAATAGGAAAAGAGGAAGTGAAACTGTCATTATTTGCAGATGACATGATATTATACATCGAAAACCCTAAAGACTCCATTAAAAATCTACTAGACTTAGTAAATGAATTTGGCAAAGTAGCAGGATACAAAATTAATGTCAAGAAATCAACAGCATTCTTATACACCAATGATGAACTCACAGAAAGAGAAACTGAATAAACAACCCCATTTACCATCGCAGCAAAAAAATTAAGATACCTAGGAATAAACTTAACCAAAGAAGTAAAGGACCTATTTGCAGAAAACTACAGGACATTGAAAAAAGAAATAGAGGAAGATATAAAAAAGTGGAAGCACATACCCTGTTCATGGATTGGAAGAATTAACATCATTAAAATGTCCGTACTACCCAAAGCAATCTATAGATTCAATGCAATCCCCATCAAAATACCAACGACATATTTCACAGAACTAGAACAAATACTTCAAAAGTATTATGGAACCAATAAAGACCCCGAATAGCCATAGCAATCTTGAAAAAGAAGGGCAAAGTAGGTGGGATCACAATACCAGATATCAGGTTATACTACAAAGCGACTGGAATAAGAACAGGCATATAGACCAGTGGAACAGAATAGAGAACCCAGTAATGTACCCAAGGCAATATGCTCAATTAATATTTTACAAAGGTGGCAAGAGCATACAGTGGAGTAAAGGCAGCCTCTTTAATAAATGGTGTTGGGAAAATTGGACAGTTTTAGTAAATTTATACAGTTGTGCAAACATCACCGCAATCTAGTTTTAGAACACTGTCATTAGCCATGACATTTCCCTTGTGCTCATTTGGGGTCAATCCCCATTTCTCTCCCAAGCCTCAGGCAACCACTGAACTATTTTCTGTCTTTATTGTTTTACCTTTTTATAGACATTTCATATAAATGGAATACTATAACATGTAGTATTGTATCTGGCTACTTTCTCTTAGCATGTTCATCCATGTTGTGGCGTGTGTAAGTAGTTCGATTCTTCGTAATGCTGAGGAGTATTCCATTGAGAAAGCCATGTTTTGATTATTCATTCATCAGTTAAAAGAAATTTGAATTGTTCTAGTTTTTGGCAATTATAAATAATGCTATTATTAACGTGCCATACAAGTCTTTGTGTGGACACTCTTAGGTAGATACCAAAGAATGGAATAGCTTGGTTCCATATGGTTTAATTTTCTAAGAAACTGTCAAACTCTTTTCCCAAGTGCCTGTACCATTTTATATTCCCACCAAGAAATATAAAAGTGTTCCAGTTTCTGTACCTCTTCCCATACAATTGATATTTTCACTCTTTTTTTTTTATTGTAGCCATCTTAGTGTGAAGTGGTATCTTACTGGGTTTTGATTTGTATGACCTTAATGACTAAGATGTTTATTAAGTTTTTATGTGCTTATTTGACATTTATATATCTTTGGTGAAGTATTTATCCAAATCTTTTGCTCTCTTCCTTTTTTTAAATTGAAGTGAAATTCACATAATATAAATTTAATTATGTTAAGGGAAACAGTTCAGTGGCATTTACTCCACTGAATGTTATACAGCTATCAGTTCTGTCAAGTTCCAAAGCTATATTATTCTAAAAGGAAAGCCCTATTTTTTTGCTTTCCAGTTTTACAATATATTTCATAGGTACTCAGAGTGATTTTTTTTTTTTATCTTCACACGAGGACTTTTGCATTTATCTTCAGATAGAGTGGGAGGGAGGGATAGAGAGAGGGAGGGAAAGAGAGAGAGAGAAACATTGATGTGAGAGAGACACATCGACTGGTTGCCACTCACACGACCCGTACTGGTGCTGGGGATGAACTGAAACCTAGCTACGTGTCCTTAGCTTTAACCAAACCCAGGACTCTCTGGTCTGCAGGCTGATGTTCTAACTGCTGAGCCAAACTGGCCAGGGCCAGAGTGATTTCAAAGACTCTTTAAAAACATAAATATAACAATAAGTACTATACCCTGTTTTGCTTAATTAATGGATATTTAAATTGTTTCTTTTTATAATTGTGATGAACATCTTTGTGCAATTTTTTTTTTTTTATCCTCACCCAAGACATTTTTTCTACTTTTTGTTCAGATATTGTGGGAGGGAGAGTGAGGAAGAGAGAGAGAGAGAAACATCGAAGTGAAAGGGACACATCGAGTGGTTGCCACCCGCAAGACCCAACCAGGGCCGGGGACAAACTGCAACCAAGGTACGTGGCCCTTAGTGGGAACCGAACCCGGGTTTCTCTGGACCGCGGGCCAACACTCTAACCACTGAGCCAAACCTGCCAGGGCTCTTTGTGCAATTTTATTCTTTATTTAGATTGTGCTTTACCGGGAATCTGACATTTAACAAAATCTCACTTGTGTAGTGTATTTTTTTACTTAATAGCCTGTATAAATAAGAATTAATGGTGAAATAAGAAAAAGACTGGACATAACAAATAAAAAATAAGGGTGTATGCCCTGCATGGTTTGGCTCAACAGTTCAAGCATCAGCTTGTGGATCAAGGGTTGCAGGTTTGATTCCCGGTCAAGGGCACATGCCTGGGTTGCAGGTTTTTTTGTTTTTTGTTTTTTTTTATCCTCACCCGAGGACATTTTTCCATTTTTTGTTCAGATAGAGCGGGAGGGAGAGAGAGAAAGAGAGAGAGAGAGAGAAACATCGACGTGAAGGGACACATCGAGTGGCTGCTACCCGCACGACCAACCAGGGCTGGGGACAAACTGCAACCGAGGTACGTGCCCTTAGCGGGAACCGAACCCGGGTCTCTCTGTACCGCAGGCCGACGCTCTAACCGCTGAGCCAAACTGGCCAGGGCCTGGGTTGCAGCTTTGATCCCCAGCCCTGGTTGGAGTCTTGCAGGAGGCAACCAATTGATGTGTCTCTCTGACATCGATGTTTCTCTCTCTCTCTCTCTTTCTGTTTTCCTTTCCCCCTCTCCCGTTCCCTTCCTCCCTTCCACTCTATCTAAAAATCAATGGAAAAATAACCTCAGGTGAAAATTAAAAAAATAAAGAAGAGTGTAAGGTTTACCTTTGGATGATATTGTTATCATTTAGAAGTTAACAGATTATGAAAGTATTCTGAGATTGTTGAGTGAAAAAATGTTAGATATGCAGAAGCATGGAACAAATTTTGTAAATGAACTTGATGGACTGATACTTGTCATACAGTATTTTTACTAGAAAGCACAAATGAAATTCTCTTGATATGCAGTTCTTTAAGACCTTTCTATCCTTTTTTTGCTCAATACGAAGAGTTGAAGAATAGTAATTTGACACTTTTCCTATATAAAGATATTTTCAGAATATAAGGATTTGGGCTTCTCCATATTTGTTCACCCATTGCCTCTTTTCCTAGATGAGTCCATTGTCTAGATAGACATCAGAATTATTTAAGCATTATGTTGCTATAGTTTCTATACACTATTAGGCTTTTGAAGCAAATAGTTTTGATTAATCTTATTTATTTAGTGGATGTTTCCTGTAGATATAACTTGCAAAATTAGTGGACTGGTAGAATCTCTGCTTAAAAGTTTGTCTAGGCTAAATTTTTTTTTTTTTTTTTTTTTTTTTTATCCTCACCCGAGGACATTTTCCCAATTTTTGTACAGATAGAGTGGGAGGGAGAGAGAGAGGGAGAGAGAGAGAAACATCGACGTGAAAGGGACACATCGAGTGGCTGCCACCCGCACGACCAACCAGGGCCGGGGACAAACTGCAACCGAAGTACGTGCCCTTAGCGGGAACCGAACCCGGGTCTCTTCGGACCGCAGGCCGACGCTCTAACCGCTGAGCCAAACCGGCCAGGGCTGTCTAGGCTAAATTTTGAAGCAGGTCTCTATTAGCACTGGAAGAGATCAACTTGATCCAGCTCAGTTTTTATTTATTAGTTAAATGTTAGAAGAACTTGACTCCAGAAAGGCTCTATTTCTAAATATAGAATATTTTTAAGTTAAAAAGTTTTAGAATTTAACTTTTAATTTAAATGTTAAATTGATTAGCTTTCTCCTCTTATTGAAGTAAAAATTTCTGTTGGTTTCTTTAAGTAAAATCTTTTATGTATGAAATAAGAGTCATGTCAGTTTTTTGTTTTTAATTCCTCAGACACATAGTGGATCTGTGTGGCGCGTGACATGGGCTCATCCTGAATTTGGACAGGTTTTGGCTTCCTGCTCTTTTGACCGAACAGCTGCTGTATGGGAGGAAATAGTAGGAGAATCAAATGATAAACTTCGAGGACAAAGTCATTGGGTGAGATATACATTAGTTTTCGGGAAATGTGGAGGCATGAGCATCCAAGGAGCATTAATTAGTCTTTCCAAGAACACTTCAGGTACCTCTTGGTACATGGGTCAGTGTTCAACCAGTGAGCCACACTGGCTGGGTTACACTGTAAAATTATTTTAAAAATGTTTTTTTCTATTTTGTGTTTATTTTCTCTTTCTTAAAATAATATACTCTTTATCTGTTTCTGCTTTAACTCTAGTTCTTCCCTGATTTGGTGTTTGAATTTAGGCAAGAGCATAGTGCGTTTGCTTCTCAAATTCCTTGTCTGTAAAGTGAGAGAATTGACCCATTCCAATGTTTTCTCTTTTTTCCTCTTTATTTTTCATAATAGATATTCAGGCAGAAGGATAAAATTCAAAAGGTACAGACAAGTGTATAAAGTGAGAACTTCCTTTTCTCTGGCCATACAGTTATCTTCCTAGAGGCAGCCACTATTACAGGTTTTTGGTTTATCCTTCTGGATGTATCTCATGTCTTAATAAGGACATGAAAAGAATGGCACCAGGTGGGTGAGGTCAGAAAGGCCTCTGTTCACAGCACCTGGGTACAGTGAAAACTTAGTTCTCGAACTTAATTCATTCCAGAAGGCTGTTGGAGAAGTGATTTGTTTGAAAACAATTACTTTTTCCCATTAGAAATAGTATAAATTGAATTAATTTTTTCCAGACTCCCAGATAATTCTGTTTTAATCTTTCATATACAGTACATGTGTAAAGTGCTATTTAATAAAAAAAAAAGAAAACTTCTTAAATTTATCAAACCACCCTCTTAGTTATTTATTTATTTATTTATTTATTTATTTTTAATCCTCACTTGAGGATATTTTTCTACTGATTTTTTCAGGTAGAGTGGGAGGGAGGGCGAGAGAGAGAAAGAGAGAGAGAGAGAGAGAGAGAGAGAGAGAGAGAGAGAGAGAGGAAAGAGAGAAAGAGAAAGAAACATTGATATGAAATAGACACATCAATTGGTTGCCTCCTGCAAGACCCTGATCGGGGCTGAGGATCAAACCTGCAAACCAGACATGTGCCCTTGACTGGGAATTGAACCTGAGACTCTTTGGTACACAGGCTGATGCTTAACTGCTGAGCCAAACCAACCAGGGCTCAAGCTATCTTCTTAAATGAATCAGTTTCAGTACTCATTTCAGCGGTGTCTTTCAGGAGGTCATTATGCAGCATCGTCCCTTTTTCACACATCATTGCCTCCAAAATGCTGTCACTAGCTAACTGCTTTTTGTTTATCCAAATCAACAACAGTTTTTCTACCTCTTTAATTGCCTGTGATCATTGTTTGTTTCACACCCTGAGCAACATTAGCACTCTTGATGGCCTCTATATTTTAAAATTTTGCTAATCATCCATTTTGCCAGCATCAAAAGCAAAAAACCCACAAAAATATTCACAGCACAATTCCCTGAATTGTTAGCAATGCTAGGTTTAGTGGTAAACTGATTCTCATTCTCTCCTTTATTTGTGGCCTGAGAGATGCTTTTTGTCCTGCTGATATATCAGTATGAAGGGGTTGTTGTCCAGAACCAAAGTTTTGTTCAATGATCAAGACACTTCTTTGAACAACTTGTCTGAGAATGGAATTACTCGAGATGGGAGACATATGAGAACTGAGGTTTGACTGTACTTGAGTTCTGGCTAAGAAAGAATTCAGAAGCAAGACTTGAACTGTAAGAGAAAGTTTGCTTGTTTGTTTGTTTTCGCCTCACCCAAGGACTTTTTTCCATTTTTGTTCAGATAGAGTGTGAGGGGGAGAGAGAGAGAGAGAGAGAGACATCAACGTGAAAGGGACACATCGAGTGGCTGCCTTTCGCACAACCCCAGTCAGGGCCAGGAACATATTGCAACTAAGGTATGTACCCTTGACCAGAGTCAAACCTGTGACTCCGGCTGCGGGCCGACGCTCTAACCGCTGAGCCAAACAGGCCAGGAAGAGAAGGTTTATTTAGAAAGTCACAAAGGTAGGAGAAATGAGGTGTAGAGGAAATGGGCTCAGGAAACAGGTTACAGAGGCAAAAGAAGGGCCCTTGAACCTTAGGAGAAAGAGAGGCACGGACAATGTGATGGGGTGGGGAGCGGGGAGTGAAAGGTGCTCCCTGGATCCTAGGTCCTAAGGGCTTTTAAGGGTGGAGATTTTAGAGGAAGTCTTGGGAGGATCTCAATAGAATATTCATCAGCTTTCCAGGTGTGTCTTTTCAAGTTTGTGGTCTCCACTGAATGGTCGGAACCTGGGCAGAGGGTTATTAGTCAATGCAGCTGGTCCTGATGTCAGCTATGGTGTTGCTTGTTTGGTTTTGCTGCTTCTGTGGGCCTGGAGCTGAAACATAACTGAGGTCTAAGTACATATGATGTGGGTCAGAACCTCATTGTCCTGAGGGCTTAATGCTTAAGGGCTATTCTTTGGCCCCCTTGTTCATGGCCAGTGCTGTAAAATGTCAGGGGCTCTAAACCGCATGACCAACGCTGGCTGGTTTGACTCAGTGGTTAGAGCGTTGGCCTGCAGTCTGGAGAGACCCGGGTTCAGTTCCCGCTAAGGGCATGTAACTTGGTTGCAGTTTGTCTCCAGCCCTGGTTGGGTCGTGTAGGTGGCGACCACTCGATGTGTCCCTTTCACGTCGATGTTTCTCTCTCTCCCTCCCACTCTATCTGAACAAAATATCAAAAAATGTCCTCGGATGAGGATAAAAATCAATCAGTCAATCAATCAATAGCATGACCAGAGAGATGCTAGGGGAGGAAAGATCACCCTGGCAGTAAGGTCCTTTGTTTTCCCAACTTTACCCCTTGCACCTGGGGCTTTCCACCCTGGTAACCTTCTGTACCTTGCCTATCATCCTTGCTTCGATTTTTTTCTGTGAACTGTCTGCCACAAGACTGTGTTTTCTCTTCTGTCAGTCCTCCCCACATTCCCTCACACTAATTGTAATGTGCTATCAGTACTGTTCCTGCTGGTGTGAGGTGGTTGGAGGGTGGTCCCTACACTGAAAGGTGATGGGTTTGATTCCTCGTCAGGGTACATACCCAGGTTGTGGGTTCAATCCCTGGTTGGAGTACATACTGGAGGCAACCAATTCATGTTCCTCTCTAAAATCAGTAAAAGCATGTCCTCAGGTAAGGATTAAAAAAAAAATACTGTTCTTTTTTCTGCTGCATTTTAAAATGTGTAAAATATACATAACATGATATTTATAATTTTAACTGTAAGTGTAACATTTAGTGGTGTCCATCAGTGGTATCTATAACAAAACTTTTCATCTTTCCAACATAATCTGTCCAGTAAAATCTCAATATAACAGACTAATTTGGGCGGGAGACTGTCTGTCTGTTAGAGCTTAAAGTCCCGTATAAAATAAAGTAGGTTTTCTGAATGCATATGTTAAAGAATTGACAAATTAGTTTACCCATTTTTACATATGTAGGTAGACAAGTTTGTATAATTAAAATGAAGTATGTATGAAAAATTTACTTTCACAGAAAAGTTTTCTGTATGTATTACTATAATTTTAAATTCATACTGAATAGGTCTAGTAAATGCACACTTTCACCAGTCACTGATAGTAAACAAATTCACATGGCTGGGGCATGGCTTAACATATATCAGAACATTGGCCATTAGGAATTAAAACTGCTGTAGGGCCCTGGTCCCACTGCTCATTGGTTATAGCACCACTCCTCACACCAAATGGTTTTGGTTTTGATTTCCCAGTTAAGGGCAGGTTCCATCCCTGGCCTGGTTGGGGCGTGTGGGAGGCAACCAATAGATTCGTCTCTCTCACATTGATATTTCTATCTCTGTCTCTCCTCCTCCCTCCCTCCCTTTAACTCTTTCTAACAATCAATGGAAAAATATCCTCAGGTGAGGATTAACAACAAAAAATAAAAATAAGTAAAAACTGCTGCAGAAAGTCCTGCCTCTTGACAATAGAACCAGTTACCTACCACGCATGATGTGGTGTGATCATGTGCTGATCATTCACTGAACATTGTTTACAAGCGGTGACTCTTGTATTTAAATATGTAGACCTTAGTTGTAGATATGTAATAATTATTTATATTGACCAAATTACTAGTATTTTTTCCCCTAACATATGGCCTATTTGCCAAAATTTGTTAAAAATAACAGTGAAGTAATAAAAAAAAAAATTACCTGTTAATTTAATTATAAGCAAATCTTGGTTAAAAGCATTTTAAAATAACCAAGGTGTTAATTTTCATGTATTACCTACAGGCCAGAAATTTTGTCCATTAAAGCTGAAGTCTGTTAAATCAAGGTCTGCATAATCGAGGGTCTACCATTAAATGATACTTCTTCCTTTTCCCTCCTCCAGCCCCTGGTAACCTCTATTCTACTTTCTGTCTCAGAATTTGACTAGTTTAGGTACCTCATATAAGTGGAGCCATACAATTTTTGGTCTGTGTCTGGCTTGTTTCACTAAGCAAAATGTTTTCAAGGTCCATCCATGTTGTAGCATTTATCAACCTCATTCCTTTTATGTCTGAATAATATTCCATTATGTATGTATGCCACATATTGTTTATCCATTCATCTATGGATGGACAGCTGGGTTGTTTTCACCTTTAAGCAAATAATGCTATTATGAGCATTGGTATGTAAATACCTGTTTGATACCTTGCATTTAATTCTTTGGATATATACCTATGGTGATAAGGTAATTGTATGTTTAACTTTTTGAGAGACTGTTAAACTGTTTCCCACAGTGGCTGCAACCATTTTACATTTCTACCAGAAATGCACAAGTGTTCCATTTTCTGTACTTATTTGCCACACCTTGTGGTTTTAATTTGCATTTTCCTGATGTTTAATGATGTTGAGCATTTTTATGTGCTAAATGGTCATTTGTATATCTTGTGATATTTTGATTTATAAGAAATATGTATTTGCTTATTCAGATGACCAAAATATGTTTCTTACATATATTTAGCTTTTCATCCATGGTTCCTGACTCATGGCTCCCAAAATCCTTGAAATTTCTTAAGTTTTGAGAACGATAAAAGTGTCTTTTGTTATGTTGATGATAAGACTTTTGGAAAGCACCTAAAGATGGGTGCTGGTTGCCAGTGTAGCTAACTGTTAGAGGGTTGGAACTTTCAGTCCCACTCCTCAGCCTCAGGGAGGGAGGAGGGCCATTGAGTAGTCAGTTATCCCTATGTAAGGAAGTCTTCTTAAAAACCCAAAAGGATGAGGTTTGGAGAGCTTCTGGGTTGGTGAACATGTGCAGATTTGGGAAGAGTGACATGCCTGAAGAGAGCATGGAAGCTCCGTGCCCTTTCCCCATACCTTTCATCTCTTGCATCTGACCATTCCTGAGTTACATCCTTTTATAATAAATCCGTAATATAGTAAGTAAAATGTTTCACTGAGTTCTGTGAACTGCTCTAGCAAATTAATTGAACCCGAAGAGGAGCTCTTGGGAACTCTAATTTATAGCCAGTCAGAAGCACAGGTAACAATCTGCAATTGAGACTGACATCTGAAGTGATGGGTGGGTGGGGGCAGTTTTGTAGGACTGAGCTGCTGTATGTGATGCTATCTCTGGGTAGATAGTGTCAGAATTTAGTTGAATTCTTTTCAGACCTGTTGGTTTCTGGGAATTGTTTGTTGGTGTAGAGGAACCCTCTCCCCCCACCTCAATTGGAATTGTTATCAGAATCATTTTATCCTTTTACTTCTTTAGAGGTAATGTCTGTTTAAGTCCTTCACCTATTTTTTTAATTGGGTTGTTTGTTTTTTGTTGTTGAGTTGTAGGAGTTCTTTGTATACTCTGGATATTAATCCCTTATCCACATATATGATTTGTAGATATCTTCTCCCATTCTATGAGTTGCCTTTTCATTCTTGGTAGTGTCCTTCGATGCACAGAATTTTGAAATTTTCATGAAGTCCAGTTTATCTTTTCGGTTTTGCTTCCTGTTTCTGGTGTCATATTCAAGAAATTGTTGCCAAATCCAGTGTCATAACACTTTCCTCAGAGTTTTCTGTTAAGAATATTATAGTTTTAAGATTCTACATTTAGGTTTTTGACTTATTTAATTTATTTATTTATTTTTATTTTTTTATCCTCACTCGAGGACATTTTCCCATTTTTTTGTTCAGGTAGAGTGGGAGGGAGAGAGAGAGGAACAGAGAGAGAGAGAGAAACATCGATGTGAAAGGAACACATCGAGTGGCTGCCACCCGCACGACCAACCAGGGCCAGGGACAAACTGCAACCGAGGTACGTGCCCTTAGCGGGAACCGAACCCGGGTCTCTCAGGACCGCAGGTTGACGCTCTAACCGCTGAGCCAAACCGGCCAGGGCGTTTTTGACTTATTTTAAATTAATTTTTGTATATGGTCTAAGCTAAGGATCTGATCATTCTTTTGTATTTAATATCCAGTTTTCTCAACATCTTTTATTGAAAATACTGTCCTTTCCCCATTGGATGGTCTTGGCACCCTCATTGAAAATCACTTGACTATGGCAAGTTTATTTATGGACTCTATTCCATTGGTCTGTATGTCTCTCCTTATACCAATACCATACTATTTTAACTACTGTTGGTTTGTAGCTTGCATGCTATATATACTGCTTTACAATTTTTTTTTATGAAGGGGTTGGTCTCATTGCCTTTGCACTAAGGCCTCCCTAAGGCAAACAGCTGCTTTGGAGGAGAGAAGGGAAATTTGTAGAATTTTTCTAGCAGTCAGTCTGAGATGGAACAGTATATGCTATAGGTTGGGTTTGGGAGTGGTAGCATATAAAGGATTTTTATTTGAACTTAGATGTGTTTATATTTAGTTAAATTAACTCATTAATAAATTTAATATTTTAGTATTTGTCTTGGTATTATTCAGTGGCATTTATAGACAAAAGTTTGCAAAGATGCTATCTTTGAAATTTATGTAATACTCTTTTAATATTTATATTGGCAGTCCTTAAGATGTATTTTGATAACCATAGAAAGTAAACTCTTGGTTTTGAAATATTTTGTATGTTTTCAGTAAAAAATACTCTTATTTAGGTGCCAGAAAATAACGTACAAATGCTATTATGGAATTCTATAATTATCATAAAGCCAACTTTATACCATTCCCTTGGTCTCTACTAAATGCTATCTCTTAAAAGTGGATAACCCAAGTAGGGTTACCTGACATTGATGCTTGAGGAAAGAAGTTGCATGTCTTTCATTTTACTGTTAAAGATTCTTACTTTGTCTAATTTACTGCTTGCAGCATACTTTGCATGACCAAACCACCTATATAAAAAGTTGAACATTTTTCTTGTTTAGTGACCAGTCCACTTAAGAGAGCATACTTACATAATTTAGTAGTTATACCTTCTAAGGTCTACTTTTTTTCTGCCATAAATGAGTAATTAATTGTAGGTCTCTAATTAGTTACTGATTGCTAGCTATTTATGTGGTATTTTGCCAAGTACTTTGGAGGAAATTGAGGCACAGATAGGTTTTAAGTAATTTATTCAAGGTAATATATCCTAGTAAATGACAGAAGTTAGGTGTGATTTTAGAGCCTATGTTCTTTCCACTGTCCCATCTTTATTTTTGGTACAGTGGTCTCCCTTTATCCATGGGAGATACATTCCAAGACCTCCAGTGGATACCTGAAACTATGGATAGTACTAAACCCGATATATACTATGTGTTTTCCTGTACATAAATGCATGTGATAAAGTTTAATTTATAAATTGGGCACAACAAGAGGTTAACAACAACAGTAATCAGATACAACAGTTGTAATAGTATACTGTAACAACAGTTATGTGAATGTGGTCTCTCAAAATATCTTATTGTACTATAGTCACTCTTGTGATGATGTAAGATAAAACAACACCCGTATCATGAGATGAAGTAATGTGGGTATGCTGGACAAAGGGATGATTCCTATCATGAGCTGCATGGTGAGAGATTTTATTCTGCTACTCAGAATGGCACCCAATTTAAAACTTATGAACTGTTTACTTTTAGAATTTTTCATTTACTATTTTCAGACTTAGGTTGACTACTGGTAACTGAAACCACAGAACGCAAAACTGCAGATCAGGGGGGAACTGTATATAATTTAAATTGTTAATTTTTTTTTTCAGGTTAAGAGGACAACACTAGTGGATAGCAGAACATCCGTTACTGATGTGAAATTTGCTCCTAAGCATATGGGTCTTATGTTAGCAACCTGTTCAGCGGATGGTATAGTAAGAATATATGAGGCGCCAGATGTCATGAATCTCAGTCAGTGGTCTCTGCAGCATGAGATCTCATGTAAGCTAAGCTGTAGTTGTATTTCTTGGAACCCTTCAAGGTAAGCTTTCATAGCAAACTTGTGATAATTTAATCCTAGTTAACAAATTGGTAAATTTTTTTTTTTATCCTTACCCAAGGATATATTTTTATTAATTTTTAAAGAGAGAGAGAAAAACATCAATGTGAGAGAGAAAAATTGGTCAGTTTTTTTTTTAATATATATATTTAGGTGTGCCTAAATTGGGTGCATATATGTTTACCAGGGTTATATCCTCTTGTTGGATCAAACTCTTTTGTATTATGTAGTGATCTTTATCTTGTGTTATGGCTTTTGATTTTTAAAAAAATGTTTTTATTGATTTTTTAGAGAGAGAGGAAGGGAGGGAGAGAGAGAGAAACATCAATTTGAGAGAGAAACACCGATTGGCTGCCGCCTGTACACTCCCTACTAGGGGTCAAGCCTGAAACCCAGGCATGTGCCTTGACTGGGAATCCAGCTGGAATCTCTCATTCCATGGGACAATGCTCAATCCACTGAGCCACACTGGCTGGGCATGGCCTTTCATATCAAGTCTAGTTTATCATATGTAAGTATTGCTATCCCTGCCTTTTTTTTCCCCATTTGCATGGAAAATTTTTTACCATCCTTTCACTTTCATCCTGTGTGAGTCTTTTATTCTGAAGTGTGTCTCTTGTAGACATTCATGTATGTGGGTCATGTTTCCTTATCCATTCAGCTACCCTGTTTTGAATGGAGCATTTAATCAATTTACATTTAAGGTTATTATTGATAGGTATTTATTGCCATTTTTATTATTTATGCCTATATTCCTTTCTCTCTCTCTCTCTCCTTACAGTAGTTCCTTTAATATTTCTTGCAATGCTGGTGTGGTAGTAATAAATTCCTTTATCCTTATTTTATCTGGGATGCCTTTTACTTCACCTTCAATTTGAATGATAGCCTTGGTGGCTAGAGGAGTTTTGGTTCCACATTTTTGCTTTTCATTACTTTGACTTCTTCATGCCATTTCCTTCTGGCCTGTAGTGTTTCTGTTGAGAAAAGAGCTGACAGCATTATGGGAACTCCTTTGTAGGTAACTGACTGTCTCTCTCTTGCTGCTCTTTAAGATTCTCTCTTTGTCTTTAATGTTTGCCATTTTAATTATGGTATCTCTTGGTGTAGGTCTCTTTGGATTCATCTTGATTGGGACCCTCTATGCTTCCTGAACTTGTGTGACTTTTTTCTTTATCAGGTTAGGGAATCAATCTTTCTTTCTTTCTTTCTTTCTTTCTTTCTTTCTTTCTTTCTTTCTTTCTTTCTTTCTTTCTTTCTTTCTTTCTTTCTTTCTTCCCTCCTCCCCTTCCCTCCCTCCCCTCCCCTCCCCTCCCCTCCCCTCCCCTCCCTTCCCCCTTTTTCTTCCCTCCTTCCTCCTTTTTCTTCCCTCCTTCCCTCCCCTCCCCTCCTTCCCTTCCTTCCCTTCCTCACCCAAGGACATTTTTCCATTTTTTGTTCAGGCAGAGTGGGAGGGAGAGAGAGGAACAGAAGGAGAGAGAGAAACATCGCTGCAAAAGGAACACATCGAGTGGCTGCCACCCACACGACCAACCAGGGCCGGGGACAAACTGCAACCGAGGTACGCGCCCTTAGCGGGAACCGAACCCGGGTCTCTCAGGACCGCAAGCCGACACTCTAGCCGCTGAGCCAAACCGGCCAGGGCCATTCTTCATTTTTAACTGGTTGTTTTTCATGGTTTTATTTCCTTTTTTAAGCTGTTGAGAATTCTAAATTCCATTACTTTAAACTCTGTTTCTGATAAATTGCTTACCTACATTTTGTTTAACTCTTTTTCTGGAGATTTATTCTGTCCATTCATTTGGGGCTTGCTTCTTTGTTTTCACATTTTTGCTCTTTCTTTGTGTTTGTTTTTGTGTATTGGGTAACACTGCTATGTCTCTCAGTCTTGGTGGAGTGGCCTGTGGGACCCAGTGGTGTAGTCTCCTTGATCCTCTCAGCTGGATGCTCTAGGAATCACCCTTGTGTGGGTTATGTGGGCCTTCTCTTGTATTTGGATCTTGATTGCTGTTTGTGGCTGTTCTTGGAACTCAGGTTGCTATCTCAACCACTACTATGTCACGCCAATTGTTATACAGGTACTGACAGAATAAAACAACTCAAAACAAGACCAAACCGAAAACAACATGAAGAGCAATACCAAAAAAAACTCACAATAGAAATGACTAGAAAAGGAAAAAACAATCGACTACTAAAAGACTCAAAATCAAAAGTATTAGATGAGAAAAAGAAAAGCCAGAAAATAGAATATGAAAGAAAAAGAGGGGAGAAGTAGAATAAAGATATAAAAGGAAAGGGAAAAACAATAAGTGAAATAATAATAATTAAAAAATGATAATGAATACATTCAAATATAGAATAAGGAAAGGAAAAATGGGGAAAAAATAAGAATTTAAAATAAAAATAAAGGAAAGAGAAAAGAAAACTAGAATATAAGGAGAGAAATAGATTTGAAAGAGAAACGACAAGAAAGAAATAAACCAACATCCTTTGGATCTGCTATTTGTGGAGCTTGCTGGATTTTGCTCTGATTTTGTTTGATCTGGCCATTTGGTATGTCGGTCCTGGGCCTCCCAGGAGGTTCTTTGGCGCAAGACAATGTGGGTCGCTGTCCCTGTGTTGCTCTTGGTAACCTGTCTAAGCACGATAGGGCAGAGCCCCAATTAGTCGGTGGGCCAGGCTTTAGTAGTACAGAAGCTGGGTCTGTTTTCAGTTTTGCACCTTAATGTCCTTTTTTCTGAGGTCTCCCTTCCTACATGGAACTGGGCTCTGGGGGGGTCCTGGGCAGGATGGTTTAAACACACTCTTGTTGCAGTGGTGCCTGTAGTTTGTAGGAGTGGAGGTGGGCACTTCCCTCCTCCAGTGCCTTAGTTCTACCTTGTTCACTGGCACCCCCTTGACACTACCTCAAGCAGGTGGGAATAAAAAGTAAAAATTATAAAATCAGCCCTGTTTGGCACTTCAATCTCTCATTGTGGTCGGCCCCTGCATGGTGGGGCCTCCATTCTGGCTTCAACCAGGCCCAATGTCCAAGTCCCTGTGCTGCCAGACTCTGTGGTATGGGTGCAGATTTCCAGCCCAGAGCGTTCCCCTTTGCCTTAGGTGGCAGCATGGTGGGGCAGAACAAGCTATTCCACAGGTGGGGGAAGGTGGTGCCTATTTGAGGGAGGCAGGTCTGATCCTCTTTTTGGGTCACACTTTCCAGCTCCTGTCCTGTTCTCTGTCACAAGTTCTTCCAGAGACTAAAGGGTCCCTCAGATTTACTGCTGAGTGGACCATTGAGATCCCATTCACTGGCCCTGAGTTCCCCTATGTGGCCCCTCCCACAGATACAGATTATGGTTAACTTCCTACACTGGATGATGGCAGGGCACTCATGTCGCTCCCTGTGGTGATTCTCAGCCTTGGGCTCCTAATGCTGTTCTCCCTGCTTCCCCTGCAGCCAGTACTCCCCAGCCATCTCTCTCTGCCCTTAGCACTCCTCACTCCATGGCTGAGCCACACCGTTTTCACTCTCTGTCCAGCTCACAGTTCTGTTTCCAGGTCCCCCCTCCCGGCAAATACTTCAGTCCCTGGAACCTGAATTTTGGCGGCAGGGCTCTGCAACCCTGCTGCTCTGTAGGGTAGTGGTGGCAAGGCTGGGAGTCCAGTCATAGCCACTCTTGACAGTTTCTTCCTAAGCAGGACTTTGTAAATCTCATAAAATGGCCCACTCTTTTATTTTTAAACAATTTACTTGTACCATTGTTACTTGCTATGTACAGTCATCCCTCGCCACTTCGCACTTTGAAGTTCACAACTTGACTCTATTGCGGTTTTTTCATGTACTATATAGTCGTCCCTCGTTTATCGTGGTTAATCCGTTCCAGACTCTTAACGGTTGCACCTGGCATTGAAGGATTCCTGGGGTGCTCGAATACATAGGCCTACAGTCCATACATACAGTAATTTTAATTTTGCCCTGGCCAGTTTGCTCAGCAGTTAGAGCATTGGCCTGCGGTCCAGAGAGACACAGGTTTGGTTCCCGCTAAGGGCGTGTATCCCGGTTGCAGTTTGTTCCTGGCCCTAGTTGGGTCGTGCAGGTGGCAGCCCCTTGATGTGTCCCTTTCACATCAATGTTTCTCTCTCTCTCTCTTCCTTTCTCTCCCTCCCACTCTATCTGAACAAAAAAAATGGAAAAATGTCCTAGGGTGAGGATAAAAAAAAAATTTAATTGTAATACAGGGTTGTATAATTGACTCAGACAACCAAGTGCGGGCTGTATCATTTTCACTGTCTCGATCAACTTTTTAATAAATATATTTGAAAAAACCGCGATAGAGTGAAGCCGCGAAAGTCAAAGCTTGAAGCAGCGAGGGACGACTGTATATAAATAATCCTACTTTGCGGAAATTCATTTATCGCGGTAGAGTCTGGAACTGATCCGCGATAAACGAGGGTCTATCTCTACTTACTGTGAAAAATGAATTGAGCACTTTTTTTTTATTGATTCCAGAGAGAGAGATAGAAACGTTGATGAGAGAGAACATGGATTGGCTGTCTCCTGCATGCCCCCCACTGGGGATTGGGCCCACAACCTGGGCATGTGTTCTGACTGGGAATTGAACTGCAACCTCTTGGTGCATGGGTGGACACTTAACCACTGAGCCACACCAGCTGGGCAAATTGAGCACATTTGTAAAGGTTTCCACTTCTCAGTGTGTCACTAGATATTTGTGGAACTATTAGTAGTTTTCTTAGTTATGTTGGTAATTATTATAATTTCAAATGATATATTTATTTCTTTGTTTAGTGATTTATCAATTTTTAGTTTATATATATGTACTCACCTTTTTTAAAAAGGAAAGTATCTTAATTTGCTTTTATGTCACATGTACCCTTCCATTTCTTAATATTTTGTTGTATTTCTTGTATCCTGGCAAGATTTACATTATTATATTTATCTTCTACCATTAATACAGTTTTAAGTGTTTTGTCTTGACCACAAGTTGATTCTAAAAGTGAAGAAGCAACCAAATTTACAATATTAGATTATGTAAATATTCATTATAGGTGCAAATGTAATCTATTTCATGAAAACTTGTTCACACAGAATACTCTGGTGTTAACTTCTGATTGATGGAATCATTTTCTTGATTACTTTCCTTCTGGGTTATACTTGGCTTTCACAGTTCTCATATCAAATTGTTTTTAGATTTTTTTTCATTTTGGTGGTATACCTACTAAAGTAATTTTTATACATATGGGATGGATGATAAAGTCTTTGATTACTTGCATACCTGAAAATATTTCATGCTTAAATGTTATTTGGCTAGTTTTAGAGTTCTAAATTCAGTGTAAGAATTTCGAAGATACTGTTCTTGAATCTCATTTTGTGGTTGTTAATCCTCGCCTGAGTATATTTTTTCCCTTTATTTTATTTTATTTATTTATTTAGAGAGTAGAAGGGAGGCAGGAAGAGAGAGAGACATCAGTGTGAGAGAGACACATTGATTGATTGCTTTCTGCACACACTCCGACTGGGGCTGGAGATGGAACCTGCAACCCAGGTCTTGCCTTTGACCAGGAATCGAACCCAGGACCCTATGGTTCATGGGTTGATGTTTTAACCACTGAGCCACCCCAGCCAGGGCTGTTCTTGAATCTTTAACTCACAGTGTTGGTAATGAGAAGTCTGAGGTCAGTCTGATTCTCTTTCTTTTGTAGGTAACCTGTTCTTTCTGTAAGTTTTTAGGATTTTGTCTTACTACTTTGAGCTCTGTTGTAAGTATATTCTCCTAGTTTGTGGTTTGTCATTTTGACACTATGATGGTCTGATAGTAAATGGAAAGTTGTGAATTTAATGTAGCCACAGTCATTATTGTTGTAGTGCTTGCCATGTTTTATTTGAGAAATTCTTCCCCACCTTGAGAGTGTCAAGTGTATTCTGAAAGGTTGTTGGTTTTACCTTTTAAAACATTTAGGTCATTAAACCTCCTGGAATTGCTTTGTATATGGTTTGAGGTAATAGAATTCTAAATATAACCAGGATGTTCCCAGGTGTTTTTTCTTTTAAATCATATTTTTATTAGGAGAAATTTTAAGGTATTCTAAAAGTAATAACAGAAGTACAATAGACAGGTTCTAGTAACTCAAAGCTACTTTTGTTTTATGTATACATGCCTTCTCCTCCTCTCCCACCCCCCAAAAGACTATATTTAGGTAAATAGAGATATATACTATTAGGGGTTGGTCTTTTGTTCTTCATCCTGCTTGATGTTTAGTGATTCCTTTGAAAATAAAGGCTTTTGTCTTAAAATGGGGACAGCTTATGATTCTTTACAATTTCTTTTCTTTTTAAAAAAATACGTTTTTATTGATTTTTTTTTTTTTAGAGAGAGAGGGAGAGATAGTAACATCGATGTGAGAGAGAAACATTAATTAGCTATCTCCCGCACCTCCTACTGGGGATGGAGCCTATAACCTGGAAATATGCCTTGACTGGGAATTGAACCAGGACCTCTCAGTCCATGGGACATTGCTCAATCTACTGAGCCACACTGTACGGGGCAGTTTATTTTCTTATATTATCTATGTTTTGTCTTTCTGGAACTCACCTTTGATTATTCCTGGATTCATTTATCCATTTCTTTAAAATTGTTTGGAGATTTACTACTCTGTCTTCAAGATCTCAAACTTGTTCTTGAGGCTCACATTTAAAAAAAAATTTTTTTATTTACTGATTTTAGAGAGAGAGAGAAAAACATCAATTTGTTGCTCCACCCATTCATTCATTGGTTGCTTAGATTGAACCCTCAAACCCTGGTGTATTGGGACGATGCTTCAACCAACAAGGACCACATTTTATACTATCCATTGAGTTTTTTGGGTGGGTGGTGGGAGGTATGGTTGGGGATTGGCAATAATTTTTAATTGTTAAGAAGTCTTTGTTTTTCTCTGATTACTCCTTGAACACAAAGCACAAAAATGCACAAAATATGGTGGTAAATAGAGTGTAAAAGAGATACTCATTTTCAGTATGAGAGCTGAAATAAGAAGGCAGCCTCACTTTGTTCTGCCTCAGCATGGAACATGTATGTCAAGTGACTCAGATTTTTTGCAGAGCTGCTTCAGGCATGTTTATGAATGAATGTGAAAGCCCCAGGTATTTGATTTTTGGGGTAAAAATAGATTTTAGTAAGTAGGTCAGTTTGCAAATATAGAATCTATAAATGATGAAGATCTGCATCTATTCTAAAAGGTCTGTGTACTTTGGTAGTAATCTTTGATGTGCCTTGTTTTTCTTAAGTGTGTGTTAGTCTTTGTTTATCGATTTGTATTTATGAACAAGAGACTATTATGGCCAGTAGGGAAAATTATATTTGTATTTTTATTCTGTTAGGTGCTCTGTTTTCATAATAGCTATCTCTCTTACCTAGAGGTTTGGCTGAGTTTCATCTAATCTAAGTAGGTGGGGTGGATTAGCAGGATTTCTTTGTAGGGAGTGCTAAAATGCCAAAGTCTGGAGGACTTGACTTTGAGGATGGAACACTTTAATGTATTTTGTTCCCTTTGGTCCCTCTCCCTGCCTATTTAGTCTTTGTATTTGTGGATTGAAGGTACTCTGTCTCACCTCCAGCTTCTTATCTTTGAATTCTTCCAAATTTCTTGATTTCCGATTGCACGCTCTGATTTCCAGCATTGTTGTGGTGTTATTCTTTTATCATTTCCAGGGAAACTTAGTGGGGAGGACACTGAATTTTGGATGATTAGTCTACTATATACAGATAGTTGGGTGGTTTTTTTCACTGTTTGAATCATATTTAGAAAACAATCTAAGTGTGAAAATCTTAGTTTTGGACGTATAAATGAGGTAATTCCCAATGCATTTGTTACCAAGATGTTTTATAATTTGATTTAAAAGTGCTTTAAAAGATGCTTTTAGTAATTTTAGGATGATACTGTAAATGTACTTTTTTGATCCTTGCTCAAATATTCAACATCATTAGAAAGAAAATTTTGCCCTGGCCTGTGTTGCTCCACGGTTAGAGCATTGGCCTGTGTACTGAAGGGTCTCGGGTTCCATTCTTAGGCCTCGTTCCAGGTACATGTGGGAGGCAACAAGTCAATGAGTCTCTCTCATACCGATGTTTCTCTCTTGGGTGTGCTCGCTCCCCCCTACACCCCTTTCTCTGTCTGAAAATCAATGAAAAAATATCCTTGGTTGAGGATTAACAGAGAAAAAGAAAAAGTTGTATTTGTAGAACATTAAAAAGTTTGTGAGATATACAAGTTACTGTGGAATTTACATTTCTTTGAATTTTCAATAATTCCTATAAAATATCGTTTTATTACTATAGAACTTTGCAGTTTACCTGGTATTTTTCTTATATTAGGTAACCTGATTCATTATCAGAAGCTTTAGTAATAAAGCTTTAATAATAAAGAACTGAACTATTTTTCTATTACTACATTTTGTTTTCAGCCTTATGTGAGTTGGCAGATCACAATACCAAGGTCAAAGGTTAAACAGAGGTATCATGTTCATTGAGATATTACTTAATCTGGATGAGGGAGGCAAAGGAAATCAATATCTAGGTAATTAGGTATTTAATTAAATAGGAATAAATTATTTAGCCTAGAGTTCAGTAGCGTTCATTCTCTCACTGCTTATCTTTTTGCCTTTTAAAATGAATCTAGAGAAGAGAATGACATGTGGGGAGCATGGGATCATGCCTTCTTGAGGAGTTTCCTCCTTTTGTACAAAGCACTTAAACATCTTTTTGTTGTGAATTTGCTCACCATAGGTTACTTTTCATTCCATAGTTAATGACCAAATCTTTCAGGAAGAAAAATTTGTATATATATATTTTTTAATCTAAAGGCTTGAAACCTTTCCTTTTGCGGAAAAAAGCTACTTTCTTTCTCAGCTATAATAAAATGTGGTAATAATGCAAAAGGATGGTATCCTTGGTTCCCATGTTGGACAGTCTCAAGGACATACCCAAGGACATACCTTTCCAAAGTCTTGCTGTGTTGAATGTGTGACAGGGATTTAATCACAGGCTTGCTGACTTATAGATTCTAGAGCTTCTTGATGCCAGCTTTTTAAATTCTCTGAGTTAAATATAATTAATTTGACCATTATGTGAAATATTTTTTATTTTTCATTTCTAGCTCTCGTGCTCATTCCCCCATGATAGCTGTAGGAAGTGATGACAGTAGTCCAAATGCAATGGCCAAAGTTCAGATTTTCGAATATAATGAGAACACCAGGTCAGTACTACTTTGGTTTAAGTATTGTTCCAAATTGCATTTAATTTTTAAAAATGTTATTTATTTATTCATTAGCTGAATTATGCATTATTTATTACATACAGATTTTTTATGATATGCCATGTTCTGTGTAGACTATGATAAATATAAAATTGAATCATATAGAGAACAAGGTAATTGATTTCCCAGTATGTACCACCTTGCAGGGAAAACAAAAAAGTAAAAAATGGTGATGAATTTTATAAACTGGGAGAATCAGGATGTTAAGAGTTTACACTCAGAGGGAGGGGCCCAGGAAGCTTCACCCAAAAGCAGACCTATAGGATGAGTAGAAGTTAGCCAAAGAGTGCAAAACATTCCGTATGGAGAAAACTACATGTGATAAGGTCCATGAATAAGAGAGCCAATACATTTTTTACTGTGGTTGGAACATAGGCAAAAAGAAGTGTGGTGAGAAATATATAAGGCTCATATCTGCAAGACCTCATGTTCAGTGTTTAGGTTTTATTTTAAGGTAATATGAAGCCACTGAAATATTTTTAAGTTGGGGAATAATAGGATCAAATGATAGTTTAAATCTTCTATAGGTATAGAAAGTATTTTAGAAAGTAGCGAGTGGATTTAGGGCTAGGATGCCATTATAATAGTCCAGGCGGAAGATTATAGTGGCTTTGAAATAGAGTAGTTGTAATGGGGATGGAGAGAAGTGGACAGTTTGAGAATAATTCAAGAAGTGATATCAGTAGGATATGGTAATTGATTGGATGTAGGAGGTGAAGAGGAAGGGGAGAGCTATCAAGATGATTTCCAAGGGTCTGGCTTAATAGTTCAATAAATAGAGTATAATTTATTGAGATAAGGAATTCTAGAAATAGGTCAGATTTGGGTAGAGTTATAGCAGCATGTGAAGAAAATTTTAATTTTGGTCATGTTGAGATCTGAACACCTGAGAGCCATAATCATACCCAGAGTCTTATAGGAGAAAAGAACACCAGAACACCCAACAGGTGATTGGCTGGGCTTCACATATGCTAGATGAAATTCTTGGGTCTGGTAGTCAGATACTGGGTGAGACCAGAAGTAGAGGAGAACTATTATAAGTTCTGTGGGCTCTGCAATTCAGAATGTTACTACTTGAGTGTTAAAGGGGTTCTTCTACCTTCCTAGATTCTTGATTTCTTCAGAGAGGCTCTGCCTGCAATAGTGCTGTCCAATAGAACGTGTTGTGATGGTGGAAATGGTCTATATCTGCACATCTGATGCAGTGACCACTAGCCACGTACAACTATTGAAACTTAAAATGTGGCTATTGCAACTGTGTAACTGATTTTGTTAATTTTTATCAGTTTAACTTTAAATAGGCATGTGTGGCTAGTGGCTACTATATTGACCAGTACACTTCTAAAATGTAGAAACCTTCCTTTAGAATTTCTTTTAAACTATCAAAGCTATGAACCACATTAATAGCACATTTTAAAGACGCTCCATGAGGAGCTAATATTTTTAAAGTAATTTTTTTCAACTATAGCCAAACAGAGTGAATAATGAGTCATAAATCTAAAACTTAAAAGGTGGACCATTTCTAAAACAAAGGAAAATAAAAAGTACTTTATAAATAAGATTTGAGTAAAGGGACAAAGAACTTGGATTTAGTTCTGAAAGAAAATACAGGGCAGATAGAAAGTACCTAAATACTTAAAAGAATTCAGTGAGAAAGGTATGAGTCTCTTGGCTAGGAGTATATATTTAGATTAGGGGCTGGATCTCCTGTGTTATCCCATATAAGCAGGAGCCTGGCTATGGAGAAGTTCTGGAGTTAGTTAAGTGGTTCAGTTGCTCAGTGATGATGCCAAGGGCCTTAGTATTTTCCTTTTCTTTTTGCTGTCATCCTTAGTGTGTTGATTTCAGCTCCTTAGGATCACAAGAGTTCCAGGTTTCCCATGCAGATATAAAGAAAGGCATTTCCTTTCATGAATCTTTTTGTATTAGGAAGAGACAGACTTTCCTAGAAGCATCTTAGCAAGCTTTCTCATTGGGTCCTGTTGGCCAGAATTAGGTCACTTGCCCAGGCTTTAGCTGTATGGGAGTCAGCATGCGCCTAGCATTTTCTGCGTCTAGAATGATGCGGAACTGGCATTGAGTAGGTAACAATGTCTGCGTGTGTGTGTGTGTGTGTGTGTGTGTGGGTGGGGGGAGATTGACTTAGGAAGTTATTAGATTTTTTTGAGTTAAGCTATTTTGGGATTTTTTGGGGTCTGGTTCTTTGAGGTTTAAAGGTTCTTAATAGATTGAACATGTTACATGGAGGACATGGTGATAGTGGACTATGTAGCATTCAGTTATCAATACCTAATTGATCTTTTTGTAAGAAGTGATACCATTCAGTAAGTACATAGGAAACATTTATCAAATTAACCAGTATTGGATATTTTTATTTCTATTGTTGAATGCAAATATTAAGACGGGCCTGGCCTGATACTGATATAGATAACTATCCTGCATTTACATAGGTTACAAGACACTTTCATATATATTATGAAATTTGAATGCTAACAACCATCTTAGGGTAGGTAGCTTTTATATTAGCACCATTTTCCAGTGTAGAAAGTGAGACCAACAAAGTAAAATGACTAGTCTAAGGTCAGATTGAGGAGTCAAGACCACATAGTAAAGCAAGGGTGTAGATGAGATTGTTCAGGATGATTATATAGGATGAGAAGAGGTGAAAGAGGGAAAATCAAAGTGCATGCTAGCTTGGAGATATTTCAGAAAGAACATTGGGATGAAAAGAAGGCCAAGTAGAGAATGCTGGGAACACCAATACAGGGTGAGGCAAAAGTAAGTTTATAGTTGTGAGTAGGTGAAACAGTTAATTCTTGTATTATTAATTGTTTTAGTGTCCATACAAATAACTATAAACCTACTTTTGCTCCCTCCTATATTTCAAAGGAGGATGGTGGAAAGCTAACCACCTCACCAGCACACAGTGCTTCAGTTCTATCCTTGATAGTCAGTTGAAAAAAGAAAGGGGAATAGAAAACTCTGATATGCCGTCTTCTTTATTCTCTATTTGCGGATATAATAGAATTGTAAGGATAAAGTAGACTTTGGTATAGCTTCCTTTATCACCACTAAAAAAACTCAATTCCTGCTGTTACCAGCTTTACTTTTTTTCTCACATTCAAATATTTAGGAAATTCAATGACTATTTTTTAATTTTTATTTTTTTTATCTTCACTCGAGGACATTTATGCATTTATCTTGAGATGGAGCAGGAGGGCGAGAGGGAGGAAGAGAGAGAGAGAGAGAAACGTCAGTGTGAGAGAGACACATTGAGTGGTTGCTACCCACACAACCCCAACCAGGGCTGGGGACAAACTGCAACCAAAGGTACGTGCTCTTAGTGGGAACCTAACCCGGGCCTCTCTGGTCTGTGGGCAGCTGCTCTAACTGCTGAGCCCAACCGGCCAGGGCAATGACTTTTCTCTTTAAAAAAAGATACTAATAACTAATGACTCAAGATCTCATTTTAATTAAGTTTTTCTTAAAGTGTTTTAAGCCAAACTTAAAAAAATCAACAGAAGAAACTTGGGAGGTTATATAAGTTTCCTAGGGCTACATTAACACATCACTACAAAGTGGTAGCTTAAAACATTTATTTTTAGATTTCTGGAGCCCAAAAATCTGAAATCAAGGTGTTGTCAGGACTGTGCTTCTTTAAAAATCCTTATTGTCTCTTTAAGCTTCTAGTGGCTCTAGGAGTTCTTTGGTGTGTGACAACTAACTCCAATCTCTGCCTTTCTTTTTTTTTTTTTTAATCCTCACCCGAGGATATTTTTCCATTTTTTGTTCAGATAGAGTGGGAGGGAGAGAGAGGAAGAGAGAGAGAGAGAAACATTGATGTGAAGGGACACATCGAGTGGCTGCCACCCGCACGACCAACCAGGGCCGGGGACTAACTGCAACCGAGGTATGTGCCCTTAGCGGGAACCGAACCCGGGTCTCTCTGTACCGCAGGCCGACGCTCCAACCGCTGAGCCAAACCGGCCAGGGCATGCCTTTCTTCACTTGTTCATCTTCTTTATGTCTCTGTCTTACCTCTGAAGTTCTTACTTTTCATCCTGAGATTCTTAATTATTATCTGCAAAGACCCTTTTTCCAAATTAGGTCACATTCACAGTTTTAGGCATTAGGACTTGGATATACTTACTAGATACTGCAGAGGTAAACATTACTTCATTGTGAGCAATACTAAAAATAATTGAGGTACATCAACATGTGGATTTAAAAAAATTTATTTCTGGAATTTTTAATGTAAATTGTTTGTTTCATTGTTAGGAAATATGCAAAAGCTGAAACCCTCATGACAGTTACTGATCCTGTCCATGATATTGCATTTGCTCCAAACCTGGGAAGGTCTTACCACATTCTGGCCATAGCAACGAAAGATGTGAGAATTTTTACATTAAAGCCTGTGAGGTAAGTTTTTGAAACAATTACTAATTGGAAAGTGTTCTTAAGTCTTGATTATTTTCATTTGTGGAGGAGAGTGTAGAGTCAACTGTGATCTGAAGAATGGATTCTTTAATGAACATTCCATCTGTAAATATATGACTTTCTGGGATGGGGACTTGAGTAAAGAGAGATTTATATTTTCTTAATTATAGTCAAACTTCTGTTCTCAAACTTCTCCCATCTCGAACAGTTCACTTCTCAACCTGACAACCCTTTTGTGTTGATACCTGTATGATCAGTCACGAGTCTCTCAGGTGACAAAGGGGAGAATGCGAGTATGGGTCAGTTTACTGCTAAACCTCATGTTGTTAACATCTCAGGAACTTGTGCTGTGAATATTTTTGTGTTTTTTGCTTTTGTTGCTGCTTAGTATTAAATCTTCATTTTTTACTGTACACTTCATTTCCTTTTATTAATTTTTCATTTACATTTTATGTCCTTTTTGTTTTTAAAGTTTTATTTATAGACTAGACATGTACTGTATATAAGAAAGGTTAAAATGGAATCATTTGCAAGTCTGGAATGGTTTAATTCAATTTACATTATTTCTAATGGGAAAAAATGATTGGGTTTTCGAAGAGCCTTCTGGAATGAATTAAGTGAGAACCAAGGTTCCACTGTATGTTTTATTCAGGCAGATACTAACAGTGAATTAGATCCTCTGAATATAATTGGTCTGTAAATGTTTGAATGAATGAGAGATGGTAGTCCAAGGGAAAATTAAATTAGCACTGAGACATTCTTGTGAATAATCTGTCAGCTTTAATTCTGGAATTGTGAGTTATTTTTTTCTTTCCTTTTTTCCTTCTCTTATTCTTTTCCTCCTGCTTTTTTATTTTAAAACCTCACCTGAGGATATGTTTATTGATTTGGGGGGAGACGGGGAGAGAAAGAAAGAAAGAGATAGAGTGAGATAGAGATTGGTTGCCTACTGTATGCACCCTTACCGGGGATTAAACCTAAAACCTAGGTATGTGCTCTGACTGGGAACTGAACCCACAACCTTTTGGTGCATGGGGTCAGGGCTGAGCTCCTACTGTTTTTCTTTTAAAATAAATTATTTCATCTATTTTATTCCTCTATACTTTGGGAGAATAAAATCCTCTTTTGTTGTATTTTCTATGAAACAGTCACTCATTATCTTTCATGTGGTAGTATCTTTTTTTTTTTTTTTTTTATCCTCACCCGAGGACATTTTTCCATTTTTTTTGTTCAGATAGAGCGGGAGGGAGAGAGAGAGAGAGAGAGAGAGAGAGAAACATCGATGTGAAGGGACACATCGAGTGGCTGCCACCCGCACGACCAACCAGGGCCGGGGACTAACTGCAACCGAGGTACATGCCCTTAGCGGGAACCGAACCCGGGCCTCTCTGTACCGCAGACCGACGCTCCAACCGCTGAGCCAAACCGGCCAGGGCTCATGTGGTAGTATCTTGCCAGGTACTGGGGAGTCAGTTGAATGTGACATGGCCCAGTGAGCTAATGGGAGGAGGGTATAGGTATGCACATTACTATAAAGTAATATGCTAAGTAGGTGAGACCATTTATATATATTTTTTGTTTAGAGAGGAGTGTTGTGTGTGTGTGTGTGTGTAAACCTTTTTACAGAATTCCTCAGGAAATTTTTTTTGTCAACAGGAAAGAACTTACTTCCTCTGGTGGGCCAACAAAATTTGAAATCCATATAGTGGCTCAGTTTGATAATCATAATTCTCAGGTTTGGCGAGTGAGTTGGAATATAACAGGAACGGTGTTAGCATCTTCAGGTGATGATGGCTGTGTAAGATTATGGAAAGGTAAAATTTAAATGAATTATTGCCTTATGTTGCTGCTTTAGAATTTTCACTTAGATGTAAACTTGAATATTTTGAAAAAAAATATCTTTCCACAATTACTTTTAAATTATGTCATATTAATTTGTTTTTTTAAACCTTTATCAGTTTACCTGGTTCATAGCAGTTAATGACTAATTTAATTGTTTTTAAGTTTCTATGTGGAACAAAGCAACTTTTAAAACTAAAAGTAACTGTAACAGAATATGCAGTATCCCCAAAATACTGTTTGTTAATGTGTGACTTGTGCACACTCAGGATAGGACTGGAGTCATCTCTTATTTTATTAAATAATTGCTTTAGCCAACCAGCTATTAATAGGGAAAAATCCAGTATCTCTCTCACTTTTCCTCTGTAGCTCCACAATATTCTTGAATTTTGGGACCACTGATTCTAAAAGTTTCTTACAAATGCTAAGTTGAGATAGACTCTGGTCTGGTTAGTCAACACTGTCATTGTTGTAGTGTGGTGTGCATGTTCGCATGGATATTAATCCACAGGGCAGAGGTGTCATTGGTTTGTGTGCAACACTCTAGTCAGTGATTTCCCATACCGTGGATCCAAAATTATAGGTTAGTATATTTATCCTGAGCAGTCATTGTTTCCCAAAATGCAGTTTGGCATTTTGGGAAACAATAACTGGCTATGGTAGCAGCACCCAGACTTCCCTTTCTCAGTGTAATTTGATTTCACAGGTTTTTATGCCCTCTCCGCCTCTGGGCTTTAGTAAGACCACCGGGGTCCACCTTAGCAGGCTCCCTAACTTGGGCTTCCTTGGGGTCAGCATCTTCAGTGACCAATTTTACATTCAAAGAATTAGGCCATATTGGATAATCCACTCACAGCCAAAGGTTTTGTTTCTTACATCCATCTTTGTGGACATTAGGTACCCACATGACAACAACTCCATTACCCTATGTATACATGTAATTGAAATTCATTACAATAAAGAATTTATCTTGATATTAACTTAATGTAACAATGTGGTAGCTTAGAGAATTATCTTTGGGGAACGGAAATGGGTGGTGAAAGCTTTATTTTTTAAATTAGTAATTCTTTTAATACTTTAAAAAATAATTCTTAAAATTAAGTGTTTTGTATTTTAAAATGTCTTTAACATTTATTCTGAGAGAAATGTAGCCTGTAGGTCACTTGTTTCCTTAACTATAGTTTAAGGACATGAACAAAGATTTGTGCCCTTGAGCATATGTATTAATCTTTTTAATATATCTGACCATTTTTCTTTCAGCAAATTATATGGACAATTGGAAGTGTACTGGTATTTTGAAAGGTAATGGGAGCCCTGTCAATGGGAGTTCTCAGCAGGGAAATCCAAATCCTTCCCTAGGTTCAAATATCCCAAATCTTCAAAATTCATTAAATGGATCTTCTGCTGGCAGGTAGGCTCTTTTATGGGAAAACTAGAAATTATCTTTTTAAATCATTCTGGTAGTCATACTAAAAGTGTGTTATTTCATGGATTTTAGGACTGAAGTAAGAAATCCACCCATAATTATGACACTAGGAAAAATTTACATTCCTAGCTCTGTATTTGGTTTACTTGTTAAAATATTTACAGGTAGGTTGTGAGACCATTAAACAAACTAAATTATATTCTGAAATTTAGATGAAGAGGAAATATGGGATAATACTGAGGATTTTAGTCATAGATTATTAGTGTATCAGTAGTGCTGGCAGTGTGTAGCCTTTGAATCAGGTAAAACTGAAATTTTAAATAAAATATATTAATTAAGGATTTGTAGAAGAGAGTAAGTTAATTTTGTTTGTTTAAACTTTAATGGAGATTATAAGAAGAAATGGTAAACTGTGAGTACTTGATTTTTTGTTAGAATTTTTAACATTTTAGTTTTTTTTTTTTTTTTTTTGTTCAGATAGAGCAGGAGGGAGAGAGAGAGAGAGAGAGAGAAACATTGATGTGAAGGGACACATCGAGTGGCTGCCACCCACACGACCAACCAGGGCCGGGGATAAACTGCAACTGAGGTACATGCCCTTAGCAGGAACCGAACCCGGGTCTCTCAGGACTCTCTGGTCCGCAGGCCGACGCTCCAGCCGCTGAGCCAAACCGGCCAGGGCAACATTTTAGTTTCTTAATTATCTTAATAAAGAATGTTTGATGTGATGTAAAGAGTCATACTGTTGTTTTCATATTCAAATTTAAAATATGTGAATCTGTATGATAAAATTATTTTAATATACCTTTATAGTATGGAAATATTCAGGAAACTTCAAAGTACAACCTTAACAAACTGTCCTGTGGTTATCTTGTCATCTTAAGTAAAAGGAGAGAACTGTATTTAAATTTTTCTCAACTATTTTTATATTGTTATATTTATATAAAGAAGTCCCATTATTTGATTTTGAAGTTTTAAGTATTTGCATGAAAACAATTTCAGATTACCATAGAAGATACCAGATTATAAAGATGATCCCATGAAGCAAAGGATACTAGTGTAAATTTTTTTTTTAAATCTGTTTTTTGGTTGTTGCCTGTATTGCATATTTTATTTTGTAAAGAGCTTTTAAATTTTGATTTTTGTTGTTATTGTGCTAATAACCATGTGTGTTAGATCTGTGATGCATTTTCCCTTCTCCATTTGTCTTTTGTCCTTTAACAGAAAGCACAGCTGAGTACCAGCTAACTGGAGTAACTTTGCTGTTTTGCTGCTTGTTGCATGCACACAGGAATGGAATGCGAGCTTCTTTTTCCCTTCCCCAGCACCATTTGACCTCTCCCAAGATACACCAGCAGCCTGCTTACTACTAAATGCGGTCCAAAAGGCTTTAAAAAAAAATATATATCTTTTATTTGTATTAGACAGTTTATTGATACTAATTTGAAACTTCTGAAATATAAATGGAGAGGCTTTTTGTTGATACAGTGTCACCAAAACAATTTTTTGAAATGTTCCTGAAACTAACATGAGTTTTAAAATGAAAAGGATTATTACCATCCTTATAAGTAGTTGGGAGAAGGGAAAATATCACTTTTTTCGTTTTGGAGATTATGGGCTTATTTCTTTTGTTTTTCTAAAAACAGTAAGCTAAAATGATGAATTTTTATAATTTTAATTTGAATATTGAATAAATATTTTTCATAAGGATAGTTTTGTGTGCTAATGTGTTTACCTTTTGTAGATTTGGTTTAAACATGATATAATGTACAACTCTGTCATTTCTTTGCAATATTTAAAAAATATTAGTAAAGGGGGTAGAAATAGTAGTAAAAGTAAATTGTACAGTTTGTATCCAAATTAAATATTTGGTATTGCTTCATTTATAATTTGCTAGTAGCAAAACCTTTGTAAATTTTCAATTCATATTCTAAAGAGGATGAATGTTTCTAATGTGCTTATATATTTTTTATGGTGTGATTCCATGGTTTAAAGTTTTAAGTCAAAATTTGGAAACATACTGTAAGAGAAGCAGTTAAAATGTGGCTGGAATTGTGTATGCACATAACGTCCACATTCCTTGTCCAGAATTTTCTTAATTTAGTTGGCTGTTTCATGTAGTTCATATCCTATAGAACAGTGACCTTGATGACAAAGCTATAAATCTTTGTTTGCTATAATGTGTAAGTATTATAGGTAAGTTATAAAATGGCAGAATAACAACAATCGGACATATTCTTTGAGCCCATTTAGTTATGAAAATTTTTTCTATTCTAAGGATTTGCAGAAAACTAAGAATATTCAGAGACTGTATTTCTTTGAAATTATGTTCCAATAGCTGGCTATATATGAAAGCATATTTGAATTTGTTTTCAGTATCATATTTGCATTTAAAAAATGTATGCCAGCTGCTACTACAAATGAAGCATTACTTAAAAAAAAGAAAAAACTCAGATTTGTAAATTTATAGGATAGCATCAGATGTTTGTGGGAGATTAGAAAATGTTTTAAATTTAAAATTAATGTCTTTTTTGTAACATTTTAAGTTTAACAGGTTATAGTTTTTTTCTTTCAACTTTCTATACTGTTTTAGGCAAGTTTGATTTGAGTAAGGGTCTTGATTTTTGCATAATACTATGTTCTGTTAGTTTGGCATGAAGATACTAAAGCTCTCCCCACCCCCAGCATTTGTTTTTTCCTCTTTGATTCTCTTTTATTTACTACTTTTCTCTCTTCTGTTTTTTTTTTTCTTTTTCTTTTTCTGTCATTTTGTTTTGGTGTTTTGTTCCTGTCTTGTTTCAGGTATTTCTTTCCCCTTCTGGATTCTCCACAGGCTGGATTGGGATGGGCCAGTTATGCCCAGCTCCTTGCTTCTCCTCCTCCTCCTCCTCCTCCTCTTTCCATGCTGACACTGTCCTCAGTATCCTTACCCTTGCAGATGATCTCTATCTGGGCCTCTTAATCCCTTACCTGAGAATGAAGGGGTTTAAAACACTGACTTAACATTTAAACGCTTTGAGTGCTTGTACATGCTTTCATTTCTGGCTGCTTCTTACTTTTCTTTCAGAAGATTTTTCTAATTTAGGGTCTGTCTTGCATGTATTACAACCAGAATAGTGTTTAGAACATAAATGCGTTTGTGCTTCTGCATTAAAGGAACATTTCTTCATTGGTTGATAACCTTTGATGAAATGACATTCAATTGTGAGAATTACATCCAGTAACTGACTTCAAAGTGCCTGTTCTGTAGATTTTATTTCAAACTGTTACCATGGTGTTTCTTATGGTTTGTCACACTGGTTAATGTGAAAGCATGTCATTATGAAGTTCACTTTGCCTTTGAGACATATTAAGAAATGTTTTTAATTTTACAGGCTAATACTGAAACTGACCAGTTTGTAAAATAAATCATTCCTGTGTATAAAGCATCAAAACATAATATGGAATGTTTGATCTTTTTATTAAACAAAGGAACTTGTTTTTACTACTTGGAATTACTCTTTAAAGCTTTTGTAATTATTCTCCAAGTAGATTATTTAATAAAATATATTTTAAATACACGAATCTGTTGCCTTATAAAAATAGAATGTATTCTGCTTAATAGTTGGTAAAGCTTATATATATATCTCCTGAAAAGATCATGTTGCTAAAAATATAAATATGTGTGTGTGTGTGTGTGTGTGTGTGTGTGTGTGTGTAATTCAAATCAAAATTAGGAGATAGGTATGACATTTATTTAAAAGGTAGAAAATCAGGCCCTGGTTGGTTTGGCTCAGCGGTTGGAGCGTCGGCCTGCAGACCAGAGTCCTGGGTTTGGTTTCCGCTAGGGGCACATACCAAAAAGTAAATAAAATAAAAGGTGGAAAGTCAGTATGTAGACTAACATGTAGAACTGACAAATGTTGACTTTCAGTGTAATTAGATTTTCTTTCTCAAAGGCCTTCCTTCTGTTAAAGGACTTGTTTTAGACCTGTAGATGTATTTAGGTTCAAAACAAGGGGTCTAACACTTGAGTTTGAATCTGGTTCAGAGTGAAGAATTCACATCTTTGAGATTTCAATCATAGAGGTGCCTGGGGTTAGAGTGGGATAAAGTATTAACACAGATTCTCACTCGAATGTAGTGAATATTGAGCATCTATGTGCAAGATGCATGCTAAACATTGGGATATGTAAAAAACAGGAAGGTAGTCTGCACTCAAACTGTCATTCTAGTGGGAGAAGGTATTTACAGGATATACACAAGGTAACTAAGATTCAGCTTCATAATAAAGGTTGAAACAGTATAGTAGGCATAAAAGCAAGTGATTTGTTTGAGCTGGCAGGTTTTGGAAGGGATGTGGCATTTCAATAGGTGGACTAATTGAAACAGAGGATAGGAGTTCAGGATGATGGCCTAGGAGGTGAAAAGAGGACAAGGGTGTGTTCAGACAACAGAATTAGAGTAAGGTTTGGGGAACTAGTGGGAGATTAACCTGGAATCATACCTTGTCACATTGTAGAAAGCTTTGGATATTTGCAGCTGAAGTGTTAACCACTTAAAGCAGTTGGTAAAGGCGAACTATGGGAGAAGTCTGCCTTTTTTTTTAATCCTCACCCGAGGACATTTTTCCATTTTTTTTGTTCAGATAGAGTGGGAGGGAGAGAGAGGAAGAGAGAGAGAAACATCGACGTGAAGGACACATCGAGTGGCTGCCACCCGCACGACCCAACCAGGGCTGGGAACAAACTGCAACCGAGGTATGTGCCCTTAGTGGGAACCGAACCCGGGTCTCTCTGGACTGCAGAGAAGTCTGCCTTTTCTTAACTGGATAGGCATTACTTCTGATTCCCAGGAAGGCACCAAATGGCCATGCAGCTTCTGCAAGCTCTGCTCAATGTCCAGGAGATTGGGAATTCCTACGGAGTTTTTTTTCTCCTTTTGAGTTGGCACCTCCATGTGCCATTGCTCTTCTATTTTATGCAGGTGTATGCCAATCCTGACAACAAAACCTCTGAGGCAGGTGCTTGAATTATCCCTGTTTTACAGATCAGGAAACTGGCAGGTTAAAACCATTTTCCCCAGGCTGCACAGCTAGGAAGTGAGAGCCAGGACTGAGATCTAGGCAGTATGGCATCAGAGTCTAGGCTTTCCTGCCTGGAGATACTTTGGATTGTAGATCCAGTCTTGCTGGATGTTGTGGGGAGAGCTTTGGTCATTTGACTTTTATGGAGGAAGGACCTTTATTGAGTTGAATACAAGGGATATGGGGTGAATGACAGTCTGGAACATACAGACACATTCCAGTAGTTCATTTGTAATGAATGACCATGGTATAGATGGAGGAGTTAAAATACCCTGTGAAACACGGGTTGCTCATTGTATCTAATAGCATCCTTTCAGTTCTAGAGCCAAGTATTTGGTTTATTCTTCAAGATTCAGAAAATCTTGAGATTTTCTCCGTTTATCTTTGTTGACAGGGTAGAATAGGGGTAATTACAAGGCTAGTAGGTTTCAAGAAGAGATGTCAAGAGAACTGTGGAAACAGTTTGCCAGGAAGGCAGTCCTGATAAAACAAATGTTGAAGTATGAAGTAGTGCCCAGGACCACGCTGATAACATGAAAAGTGACAATACAGTGTGAAAGTGGAGGCAATTAAGGGTAGGAGAGAGAATGGTCTTCAGGTGATAAAATAAGGAAGGGAGGTTTGTGTTTTGGATGGAGAGATGAAGCATTTCTAAAGGCAAAAGAGAATCAGTGGAGAGGGTGTCCAGGCATGATAGTTGAGCGATATTTTAGAGAAAGTGATCAAATGAACATGTTTCCCCCCACCAGGCTTATTAGGAGTAAGACTGTTAAATTCAACCATATGTTGTTCCTTTTCTCGCCTCCCAAATGCACTGTACATCTTAAAACATGCAATAACTATTGAGTGAATGAAGTTAAGGAGATAGCTTTGGAAAAAAGCCCCCCCCCCCAAGACATTTTGAGATAAAGGAAGGTGAAAGGTGTGAAATTGAATTACCTGTATGGTTAAGGCCTTGTGCCGAGCAGATGTCAGTGATGGCCTGAGGAGGTTAGGAAAACAGGAGTTAATTAGGGATGAATTGTATGTCATCGCCTCACCTCTTACCACATCAGACCAACCTTACTCCATCACAAAGAGGCCATTCGATGTAGCGAACTATCTTGAAGCTTGGATCCCGAGGAATGGTTTCCTAAGTGGAGCTTCTTAGCAGTGGATAAGGTGAGGCAAATCATGACATTTCAGCATCTGTCACGTGGTAGATAGAAAAGATCTGCATCTGCTCCTGTAAATACAAAGACGTGGCAACAAAACTGAATTCGGGGTAGGATCAGGTGATTTTTTTACCATAAATATTTCTGTGTATAAGGAGGGTGACGGTGCTTCGGGATCCCAAAATGAATTATGTAAGCATTCCTTTAAAGCCAAGGCTTTAAACGCGGCGCCTTCGGCTTAGTTACACGGAGAAGGCCTTCCGTGGGTCTCAGGCAGTGCCGAGCTCCTGAGCGTTGCTTCCCAGCTTCAAATCCAGGGCGCGCGGTCCCCGCCCAATCATCGGGCTCGTGTCCGCCCTGTCCCTTCGCGCCGTCCAATCCAAAGCAGCCCCTGAGTCCACCGTGGCTCCGCTGGTGCTGCGAACAGACGCAAACCCGAAGGGCGCGCTGGGCGGCCTCCGGTGCGCAGGTTAAGCGCACGCGCAGTTGTAGTGCTTCCAGGACGTCCCTTCCTCGAACCTTCCGCGGCGATTTCGCCGCGCGAAGCAGCCATCGCAGGTTCGGTGAGGAGGGTCCTCGCAGGTTCGGTGAGGAGGGTCCTCCCAGGTTTGAACGTGCGGTTCAGCGGGATGCAGGCGAATCCATTTTTGGCTGGCGTTTCGGCCGCCTGGACGGTGGGGTAGTGACGGTTGGACTGGAGTCGGGAAGGGGGCGCACGCTTCCCGGTCGGGGCTGCGGGCGCGACCTGGAGACGGGCCGCAGGGCTCTTTTCAGCGGTTGCACCGACCGGTCAACCACAGTAAATTCCGCTGAGTGGATTTAATTGGACGTCTCTGTGTTTGAGCTTCTTAGCCAACCAAGAGAGAGCGGCTGTGAAAAGAAACGAGCTTTGGTTTTGGGGAATCACATCCTTGTATCTTCCTTCCACAACGTGACTTCTAAGCAGCAAAGTGCTCTGTTGACCAGAGTTGTTTGTTTTAATGTGCGTGATGGGCGGTTCTGTTTCTCCTTTTTGTTTAAAACTCTGACCCAGGAAATCACATTGTTAACTAAATGCAGAAAGGTCTGTCGGTGTCAACCATAACTCAAATTTGTTTTGGTTTCTGCTAGGCGTCGTTCACATTTCCCTAATACCATCCCTACATTTCTTCTATCTGATTATGAAAAAAAAAAAAAAAAGTGAAATAAGGCAATGATTAATGATTAATATAACTCTGCTTTTGTTTTCTCTTAATTTCAGACTTTGTTTATTAAAACATGAGGTCCTTTTCGAGGTAGTTGTTTGGAGGACAGCTGTTTTTACAACAGTATTTCTTGCCATTACCATTTTGAGGTTATTCTACTGGACTTTTTACTGCTCCAAGATCAACCTTTTCTCCAAATTTCAGTTTTGTGGGTAAAGTTTGTGGTAAGCTTTGAAAAGTAATATACCAAATGCCTACCTGATTATATCTTAAAATGCCAAGAGTAAATGATGAATATTGGGGAAGTTTGACTATGTCTTTTTCCCACAGCATATATCTTTAAATGTGTTTAATTGTACATGTAGCCCTCTAGTTAACTACAATAAATGATATTTTATGTATCTAGGAATGTAATTAATGCAATTAAATATTAATAAAGTCAAATACAAAATTTTGAGGTTACCACTTTAAGGAAATAGCAATAGAAATCTCAAGGATGGCTACTAAGTTCAAGTAGTAAAAGGAAAGATAACATGATATTGTCTTCACTTTAGGTGATGCAGAGGGGTGGATAATGCAATACAAAGAGAAGTTAGGAAATTTTCCCTTTTAGGAAAGCTTTCGGAATGTGGTATGTCTACGGATGGTGTAGAAGAAGTGTAATCCTTACTGGAAACAAGAGACTAGGTACTAGATTAGGAATCTTCTACTGGGTTGTGTTACCCTTGGGCTGATAGCAAAGCTCTGTCCAAGCACTTAACACTGTGTATCATAATTGATAGGGATTACCAGCAACCTGAGGGGAGCTGCCTTACTTATTTTTACATCCCCAGTGCCCAGTAGAGTGTTTGATAATGATTGTTGCAAGAACAATCTTTGCTTAATATCTGAATTTTCTTAGATTTGACTCTTTAATAGGACAAACCCTTTAAGAGTTTGGTATGTATTTTAATGTGGTTTATATATATGTAAATTAACTTAGTAATTACAAGACTAGACATGGGAGGGAAGACTCATGCAATAATTTAGATTAAAAAGTGATGGGCGACAGGTGTTGGGAATATAGAAATGGGTCTTTTCAGATCCAGAGATATATTTGGAGTTAGAAGCATTAGAATTTGGTAACTAATTGAAAGAGCAAGAAGGATCAGATGGTCCCAGGTGTCTGTCTGCTTGTATAGCAAGAGATTATGGATAACAGGAAGAGTGGGTCAGGGAAAGGTAATGGATTTGGTTTTATATTTGTTCGCTTTGCACTACTTGGGAGGCATTCAGAGGTAAGGTAGATGTCAAAGAGCCATTTAGAAATATGAGTGTAGATTTTAGGATAGTGGTCTGGGCCGAGGTGATTTAAAGATGAGGGAGAGGGTATTAGTGCAGAAGAAAGAATATTCTGGAGCTAGACCTGCCTGGGTGTGAATCCTCTGTTCTCACTTGTATTGTGTGGCCTGGAAAAATCTCTTAATTACCCTTCTTGGCCTCAGTTTCTTCAATAGTAGGGATAATGGCTTTCTTGTGATTTTGATGCAGAGATTAGAGAAATATATCTAGAATACTTAGCACATTACCTGATAATAAAGTAGAGATTATTGTTTGTTAGCTAGATAGCTAGGGGATATAGATTATTTCTTTCAACTCAGTGTTTTCAACTCATAGTCCCAGCATTCTATCAGGTACTGGGAATATATGGGTGAACAAGATAGACATGTCCCCAAGAAATTATAGTCAAAGATGAGGCCACCTACTGTCAATCATTTATTCATTTCACAAACATTTGAGTACCTACTATGTGCTAGGCATTGTTATTGGTGTTAGGAAAGAGTGATAGACAGGCAAGGGATCTGCTCTTATGTAGCAATCTTTTTGATGGAAGAAGACAGAAAAATACACAAAAAAAATAGGTAGTGATAAGTGCAGAAAGAAATGAAAATGATTGTGATAGACCATGGGGCTACATTTGACTTAATAATAGGGGGTCACCTCTCTTAGAATGTGACATTTACATTTAGATGAATGTCAGGAAAGAACTAGTTGTCCAGAGATCTAGAAGACTATTGTAGGCTCCAAGGTAGAGATGGGCTTGGGTATTACAGAAACAAAAGCCAGTATATGGTGAATGAGCCCACTGCGTTAGAAACAAGGTGGCCACTGAAGTTTTCAGTAGGGGTAATGTACATGCTTTATATTTAATGGCTCCTTTGGTTGCTGAGTGAGGAATTGATTGTAGGGTGGCAAGAATAAAAGCATTTATACTGGTTAGGAGGCTTTTCAGTAGGATGGAGTGGTAGTAGCAGAGACAGAAAGATGTAGAATGTTGAAGGGTGTATTTTGGACAAGGTTTGCTCTTAGGAATGGGATCCACCAGTAGATATGTTTTGTGTGGCAATAGTGTTTTATTTCATCTAAGTGGGTTCAGGTGGGGCCTGTAATTTTCAGTTGATCTCAGCTCTTAGAGTCCTGTTATCTGACAGTGTTTATGTCTGAAGGCATTCAGGTTTGAGATCCCTAGTGTATAAGATATACATTGCATGACACAAAATCTGAGATCAGAATCCTGGGTATTCCTAAAATAAGAGGAAAAAGTGTAGAATTAGTAATTTTGGATTTTTCTAAGACTCTTAGCTGTGAAGGGAAGGCGAGCGTTGGTGACAGGAAATGTAAATAAGGAATGGAAAAATTTTGAACATGTTTATAGACGTCAAGAAGAGGAAATAGAAATATCAAAGAGAGGAAAATGCTGGAGCATGATCTGAGAGGAGGGTACTTACATGATAATTGGTGATAAATTTCCTGTGTATTGACATAGTTTGAAAACATTCATTTAACATTTATTGAGGTTGTATTCTGCCCTTATGGGGCTTACATTCTAATATGGTGGTGGGAAACAGGTGAATTGTACAGGATGCAGCAACAGTAGGTTTACAGTTGTGAGTACATGAAACACAGAATTTATTCTTGTATTATTATTTATTAATTGTTGTATTATTTTCCATAAGAACAACTGTAAACCTACTCTCTCCTCCCACCCCCTATATAGCATGCCAGATGGTGCTGAATACTACAGAAAAAAGAAAGCAGGCCAAGGAGATTGGAGTGCCATGCTTAGACTGTGTAGGTATCTGAGGGAGAACTTAACAGGTAAGTAGACATTTACACGAAGACCTGAAAGGTGTGAAGGAGCAAGATGTGAGGCTATCTTGGGTATCAGTGTGCTGGGCAGAGGTGGTAAGAGCAAGAGCAAAAGCTCTGAGGCAGGACTTAGTATGTTTTGGTGACAATAGGGAAGTTAGGGTGGCTGGAATGAAGTTAGCAAGGGAGAAAAAGTAGTAGGAGACAAGGTCAGAGGTTATCCTTGAAGGCCATTGTAAAGACTAACATTATTCTAGATTGGAAACCAGTGAAGGATTTTGAGCTAAGGAGTGACAATATTTGACTTACCTTACAGGGATAACTTTAGTGTGTGGAGAATAGATTAGGGGAGGAAGAGTGGAGACATGGAGATAAGAGGCTATTAAAGTGAGTAACCAGGTAGGAGGTAGTGGTGGCTTGACTAAGGTGGCAGCAGTGGAAGTAGTGAGAAACGGCAGGTTCTGGTTGTATTGTTACAGTATAGCCATTGTCACTTGTTTAGGGATTGCATATAGTTACATATAGGAGTGTGAGTGAGAGGAGTCAGTAATTACTAGTTTTTGGGCTGAGTAACTAGAGAATAGAGTTGTCGTTTTCTCTGTGGGGAAGATTGAAGAGCAAGCTTTTATTGAGAGGGTTGGAATGAAATGAAATCAAGATCCAGGTTTAGGTGCGTGTTAGATATCTAAGTGAAAATGTCAAGTAGGTAGTTGAATATCTGAGGATCAGGAGAGAGGCCCAGCCTGGAGATATAATTTCATATGGCATTTAAAACTTTGAAACTGAGTGCAGTCACTAGAGAG